GAAACACTGTCAAGAAAAGCCAGGAAACCATACACTGGTGAGCCATCTAAAGTAGACCGCAAATAAGGTTATCTCAGATTACAAAGGGACCTTGATCTATTGGGCCAAAGGACTGAGGAGTGGCAGATGGAGTTTAATTTAGATAAATGCAAAGTGTTGCATTTTTGTAGGATGAACAAGGGCAGGACTTATAATCTCTCCCTGTTGTAAAAGTATTTCAGTCTTTGCTGTGTAAATGTTGTTTTCCCAAATGAGTTTGTCAGAAAATATAAATGATGATATAAGAAGTTAGCTAAAGTAAAGGGAGAGTCATGGATGAGGAGGTAAACACTAGGTTGAAATATTTGATGGAAAGCACATTTTTCATAAAATGCTACAATTAAACTGCAAAACTAAAAACAGGAATACAGCATTGTCTAGCATGTATCACATCGTCCAGATTTCCTCAAACATTTCACAGTCAATTAAGTTTAATCGCTATAATAATGTAGGAAAACAAAACAACAATCTGCGCACAACTGTGATATGTCGGAACATAAGTTTGGATAAATGTAATGAAATGGAATGTAAGGATTATTTTCATAGACTTTGCCATTACAATGCCAGAGCTTTGTTTAGTGTATCATAAACTCACTTAGCTGTATGATTAGAGCATAGGGAAAAGGCAGAAAAGTGAATTTGAGGATTATCAGATTAGCCATGATCTCATTGAATGGTGAAGCAAATGTGATGAATAAATGGCTTATTCCTTCTCATATATGTTGTGGTCTTATGGATTATTTAACTTTTGGAGAAAACTTATAACGTAGTTTGAATCTACAATGCTTTTTAAAATATTAGCTGTATAAAACCATAAAACAAAGGAGCAGAAATTAGGCTATTCGGCTCATCAGGTCCGTTCCGCCATTCAGTCATGGCTGACATGCTTCTTAACCCCATTCTTCCGCCTTCTCCCTGTAACCTTTTAATCCCCTTAACAATCAAGAACTGGGTTCTGAGAAGACCTCAAGGGAATCCGGATAATTTCATGAAAAGGAAACCCTATTTACCTGATTTGTGCACTTCTTTGAAGGAGTAACACTGTAGATAAATGTGAACTAGTAAACATATTGTATTTCGGTTTCCAGAAGGCATTTGATAAAAGGTTATCACAGAACATAATAGCTTATGGTGCAGGAAATAGCATATTAGCATGGATAGAAGATTGGCTCGCTGACAGAAAGTATGTATAAATGGTTCCTTTTCTCCCACTAGCTGCTCTTTTGCTCTTAATGTGCTAGTGGAATCCCTTCAGATTATCCTTCACCTTATCTACCATGGCTTTCTCATATCCCCTTTGCCCTCCCGATTTCCCTCTTAAGAATGCCCCTACTCACGTTATACTCTTCAAGAGATTCACTTGATCCCAGTTGTCTACACCTAATATACAACTCCTCCTTATTTTCGACCAGAGCCTCAATACCTTTATTCATCCATTGTTCCCTACTCTTACCAGCCTTACCCTTCACTCCAGTAGGAAAATAATGCCTAGGGAACTCTTGTTATCTCACTTTTGAATGCCTCCCACTTGCCAGTTGTCCCTTTACCTATGAACAGTCTACTCCAATCAACTTTAAATTTGACTTTTATAGGAGGCCTATCCTTTTCCGCAACTATTTTAAAACTAATTGAATTATGAGCACTAGTCCCAAAGTGCACCCCCACTAACACTTCAGTAACTTTCCCTGCCTTATTTCCAAGAGAAAGTCAAGTTTTGCTACTTCTCTAGTAGCCATGATGTGGAGGTGCCAGTGTTGGACTGAGTTGGACAAGATCAAAAGTCACACGACACCAGGTTATAGTCCAACAGGTTTATTTGAAAACACTAGCTTTTTGAGCATTGTTCCTTCATCAGGTGTAGTATGCGAGGCATCAAGACACAGAACTTATAAGTAAAATATCAAAGGATCTTTGTTTTGGATAAACCTAAAATGGATGGCTGACTCCCTCCTGTTAAATCTTTAATCAGTTAGAAAGGAGATGCAGGTTTCAATTGATTAAAATGAAAATCCCAGAATTTCTTTCAAGTCGCTGCCCCGAGATAACTAAAAATTTTATAAGTGTATACAAGAGGTGATATCTGAGGTCAGATGATGCATTTTAGGTGTGAGGCCTTGTTTAGAATCTGCCTGTGTTTTAACCCGGAGTCAGACTGGTTTTATTTCCGAAACAGAAATTTATAAAATGCTCCATTGACTGACTGTATCTACAGACTGTGTGCTATTTGAGCAAAATAGAATGTATCTGCAAATACAAATCTGTAAAAGCAAATTCACCCCATAGATTTATATGTATGTGTGCGCACGTGTGTATGTGCATGTGAGACAGTGTGTGTGTGAAGGAGAGAGTGTGTTTGTACAAGGGAGAGAGAGAGTGTGTGTGTTTGAGAGTGTGAGGGAGTATATGCGTGTGACAGAGTGTGATGTGTGAGAGAGAGTGTGTGTGAGAGAGAGGCTTTGTGTGAGAGAGGGTCTGTGTGAGTGTGTGTGTGACTTGAAAGAAATTCTGGGATTTGCATTTTAATCAATCAAAACCTGCATCTCCCTTCTAACTGATTAAAGATTAACAGGAGGGACTTAGCCAGCCATTTTAGATTTATCCAATACATTTGCATCAGTTGCATGATATTTGATCTTTTACTTATAAATTATGCGTCTTGATGCCTTTCTCATTACACTGGATAAAGGAGCAACGTTCCAAAAGCTAGTGTTTTCAAATAAACCTGTTGGACTATAACCTGGCGTGGTATGATTTTTGACGTTCTCTAGTAGGTATGTTTACATATTGATAAAGAAAATTTTCTTCAATATTTAACAAATTCCCCACCATCCAAGCCCTTAACACAATGGCAGCCCCAGTCAGTTTGGAAAGTTAAATTTCTCTATTATTACAACCCTATTATTCTTGCATATATTTGAGATCTTTACATATTTGCTGCTCAATTTCCCACTGACTATTGGGAGGCCTATAGTACAATTCCATGAAGGTGATTTGATGGTCTGGTCCATAACAAATCCTGCAGGGCTCTGTGCTGTGATCTCAACGTTTTAAATTTACAATAATGACTTAGATGACAGGAGCAAAGACATGGAAGTGAAATTTACAGATGATGCAACGATAGGTAGAAAAGTAAATTGTGAAGAAGACATAAGGAGTTTGCAATGAGACATAGATTTTTGTTCGCTCATTCAACCTATCAACTTTAGGATAATTTTGGGGAAAATGTAAAGCTGTTCACTTTGGCAGGAAGAATGGAAAAAGTAGAGTATTACTTTAATAGAGTATAACTGTTTAATTCCAAACAAGCAGAGGGATTTAAATGTGCTAGTACTTAAGTCACAACAAATTAGTACGCAAGTGAGCACCTATTTAAGAAGGCTTACGGAATTCTACCCTTTATTACGAGAAAAATTGAAGATTAAAGAATGTGATGCTTCAATTATAAAGTGCATTGATGAAACCTCATCTTTTATACAGTGTGAAATGTTTTGTCTCCTTATTTAAGGAAGGATGTAACTTCGTTGGAAGCAGTTTACTAGATACCTGAATGAGTACGTTGGCCTATGAGGGCAAGTTGGACGTGCCAGACTAGTTTCTACTGGAGATAAGAAAGGTGAGGCGTGATTTGGTTAAGTTCTTTTTTAATGTATTCATGGGATGAGAGCATCACTGGCTAGGCCAGCATTTATTATCCATTCGTAATTGCTCAGAGGTCAGTTAGGAGTCAACCACATTGCTGTGGGTCTGGAGTCACATGTAGGCCAGACCAGGTAAGGATGGTGTTTTCCTTCCCTAAAGGACATTAGTGAACCGGATGGGTTCTTCTGACAATAGGCAATAGATTCATGGTCATCATTAGATTCTTAATTCCAGATTTTTGTAAAAAAAATCTGCCATCTGTCATAGCTGAATTTGAACTGGATCTCTAGATTAATAGTCCAGCATTAATACCACTAGGCCATCAGATCCCCAAGTAAATAAGAAGCTGAAAAATCTTGAGAGGTGGACATGAATAGGAGTTTCCTCTTGCATGAATTCAGAACGAGGGCATGCTGTTTTAAAATTAGGGGTTGCCCTTTTTCAACAGAGATAAGATGAATTTTCTTCTCTCAAAGGATTGAGAGATTTTGGAACTTCCAGCCTCAGAAGCAGTGGAAGCAGGATCATTGAAAAATGTTTGAGGTGGTGGTACATTCTTGTTAGGCAAGGGAAACAAACCTATCAGGGATATGTAGGAATGTGGAATTTAAAACACAAACAGATCAGCCATGATCTTATTGAATGTTGGAGTGAGCTCAATGGCTTACTTCTCCTATTTCATCTGTTTGTATGTCATATTCTGTTTGGGAGGGCGTTCCATGTTTTTGACTCAGTGATATTGAAGGAACAGCAGTGTAGTTCCAAATCAGGTACTACTGCTGCTATTGCACATTGATGGCAGAGGATTAAATGTGATATCAATCAAGCATGCTGTTTTGACCTGGATGTCATCAAGCGTCTGGTGTGTTGTTGGAGCTGCCTTCATCCAGGCAAGTGGAAAGTATTCTATCATACTTCAGGCTTGTGCCTTGCAGAAAGTTACTCAATACAGAATTTCCAACCTCTGACCTGATCTTGTAACCACAGTATTAATGTGGCTGGTCCTCTTCTGTTTCTGTTCATTGCAAGCCCCAGGATCTTGATAGGGGAGCACTCAACAATGGTAACACCCAATGAATGTCAAGCAGTAATGGTTAGATTTTCTCTTGCCAGAGATGGTCACTGATTGGCACTTATGGGACATAAATGTTACTTCATGAATGTCTGAAGCTTTGAAATACTAAAGAAAAATGTAACATGAAGTTAGGGATAATTCCGTGTAATTGTTTACTCCACACCCTTCATTCCTAATCCATTATATGTATTGAGTGAAAGACAATGTTACCACAAAGAAGTAATGCATTTCTTTATTTTAGTAGAGTTTTCAGTTTATTTCTTTAATTTAGTAGTATTGTAGTAGACAGACAATATGGCAGCCCTCAGAAAGTAAACACTGCCTCTTTATAGTGACCAACCAAGTAAGTAACAAAAATAAATTAACATTATACATAAAATTAAAAAATTATATGATTATTGAAATGTTTCTCTGTCACATCCACCAATTCTTTCCTCCAAAATGATAGAGATTAACAACCTGTGGAAATAACATTACCTATCATAGCATTTGAGTGCAAAGGTAGTCAACTTAAATAATTAATTGATGGGAGTTTACATACAGCATTTGTGTGGAGTGGTTTTTTTGAATGCCTTTTTGACTATTTGGAGCCCTGCACTGTCCGTCTGTTTTTCTCATTAGTGACTAGTTTTCAGAGCCAAGTTAGATAATGTGTGGGTGGCCTCTCTTATATCTTGCTGCCCATGATAGGAAATCCAAATAGTTGATCAGGTAGTAACGTGTAATGATTGTCCACTGGTAAGTTGGTGATCCCCCTTTACCCTTGATATTTGGGAAAACTGAACTTTTTTTAACCACCGATGCTATTTGTGAAGTCACATTACACAAAGTGACAGCACACCTCAAGGGTTATATGGCTTACTTTTTCCCTTCATTTGTTTCTCCTAACCATTACCAGAGCGAAACTAGTGCACACTTAGAAAAAGCCTATCAAAGTAAAAAATTGTTCAAACATACCACAGCCTGCTTTTAGAGATCAGTTTTTCCCATTAAGATGTATTGGCAAGAAGTAAAGACATTTGCATTTAGATGAAACCTTTTATGGCCACATGGATTCCCAAAGCACTTCACAGCCTGTGAAGCATCATCATTGTTGTAGAAACACAGTAGCCACATTTATGCACAGCAAGATCTCACAACCTGAGACAACTAACCAGATCACATTTTCTTAAGCTAAAATGTTTGAGGGTTATAATTGGCCCCCTGGCTCTTGGAATAGTGGTGAGGGGTCTCTTACATCTACCTGGGAGGAGAGACAGCATCCCCAACAGTGCAGTTCTTCTCTAGTACTGGCTGGTGCATCAGTCTTAATTTTGAATTCAAGTCTTTGGAGTAGGTCATGAACACACAATTTTCTGGCTCAGCTGGAACTGTTACTGTTGCAGGATTTACTCACCCCAACCTGTACCGCTTAACCAACTTCTCTTCATAAAATTGTTCCATGTATGACCCTGTCCTTCAGAGAAAATAAAAATCTCACGTAGGATTTGAACTCACAAACATCTGACTTAGTGCAGAGAGTGCTACTCGCTGATCTTAGGCTGACAAATTTGGGGACAATTTTAAGCAAACCCATGTGATGTGAAACTCCAGGGATCAGTTGGAATGCCGGTTTGGCAACCACCCAATATTAACTGTTGATTTCAACAAAGAATAAAATTGGGCAATTGCAAAAGTAACATTGACTGGCAGGGAGGGTTAAAAATTAAACCTGAGTATAAAACCAGCATTCTTACCTGATTCAGTGGATTTCCAACTCATCAAGCGAGGTTAAAGATACCCCCGTATGTCAGAAGTTGCATAAAAACACTTTTTTACAGTAATGACAAATGGGATATGCTTGGAGACTGTAAATGATATATTTTAAGTACAGGAATTGTAGGTGTTCTTCAGTTACTCATTGAATACATTTAAGTTAGAAATGCTGTGTTTTTAAATACATGTTGTATAATTTTAAAGTTCAGTTCACATTAGCTTCAAAAAGAAAGGGACGTTTGTTGTAACATCAATGCAATAACAATGGCCATATATAAAACATATATTTCCAAGTTTTTCACAAAGTAACTATGATATTTACCCATCCTTCTTCTAGTGTGGATACAAACAATGAGATCAGTGGCATACATATCTTCAGAGATGAATAAAGAAAACCTCATAAACCTGCAACTTTTATTAAACAATCAAGTTCAGTTTTGAGGTCAGTATTAATGCTTTTTACAATGTACCAGCATCAAACACACCCAGATTCTATACAGGCACAAATTACTACAGATTCTGGAATCTGTATTACAAACCAACTACAATTTCCAGATTCTATATAGTTTGTTTTAAATATCCAAGTATCCATCCTCTGTACGATGACTAAAATGAGTAGAGCAACTTCAATGACTCAAATGTTGCATTTCCACATCAGCATTCATTATTCTTATTGCTGTCTTTTGTCTGGATTGTGGCCACTTGAAACAGGAAAATTTCTTATCATTCACAATCAGAGACAAAGCCAATATTTATCCTATCAGTCTGAACTGCTGAGGAAGGAAAGTGGTGACATTCTTCCTTCATTGAATCACTGAAGCGTTATAGTGCAGAAGGAGGCCATTCAGCCTATTGTGTCTACACTAGCTATTCAGATGAACATCATTGCCTGCTGCCAATTTCCTGTTTTTTTCTCTCCACACTTGATGACACTGTTCATTTTTCTGTTTTTATCCAGCTTGTGACTGTCATGAAATCCTTTTCACAGACACTTATGGTGAAAGTGATTTCTCAGGCATTGGGAAATGAGAAGTTTCAAATTATTATTTCTTTTTGTTGAGAAAGAATTAGGAATAGACAGATATAGCCTCAACTATGCATCCTATTGTCCTGTTGCCTTCTTCAAAAAGCCATGTGCTGTTCTGATGCTACAATCAGCTATCCACATTAACCCTATATCATCTGGATGTTTTTACCCATTCATTTATATTCTTACTGGTTATTCACTTCTCCAATCTCATCAACTTATCAGTATTAAATGACAATCTGCACTGCTTCCTTAGTATTTGTACCCGTCTACCATATTTGCAATCCCAACAAGCATCTTTGTTTAATGTCCCCAGAAAAATATGCACCTTTGTTTCCAAATCTAAAATCTTTTATAAAAATAATTTATAAACTCATTTACATTAGCATGTTGTGTATTGTGATAACTCAAGCACTAATCCCTAGTCATATAAAAATGCATCACCTTTATACAGTTACACTTCTCTTCTATACCACAGCAAATTTACAATGGCAAATGCTTTGCTAAACTGGAAATACTGAATGCCTATTGAGCTTTACTTTATTACTTTGAAGAATTGTAATAGATTTGTCAGATATATATAATATCCTACAAAATCATGCTGACTTTTAAAAAATTTGTTCATTGCAGGCTAGGCTAGTATTTACTGCGAACCATAATTGCCTCAGAGGGCAAGTAAACAATATTGCTATGGATCTGGAGTCACATATAGATCAGATAAGGAGATCAGATCTCCTTCCCTGGAGGACGTTAATGAACCAGATGGGTTTCTTTGACAACCATCGGTGACAAATGGTCACCATTAGGCTAGCTTTTTAGCTCAGATTTTAATATGATTCAAATTTCACCATTTGTTTTGGTGGGGTTTGCACCCATGTCCTCAGAAAATTAACCTGAGTTTCTGGATTACTAGTCCAGTGACATTACCATTACATCACCACCTCTCCTTCTTGGCGTTTCCTATTTTTCTAAGTATTTAATTATTTGCTCCTTCAAGTTGTCGATGTTTTATCCACCACAAATGACAGCATCTCTGCCTTGTAATTATCTTTACAACTCATTTTGAAAAAAAATTGAGTTAGCTGATGAAATATTGCTCAATAAATGCACTCAACTAACAGCTTTACATCACAGGCCACTGTGCTGCGTGAAGTTTAAAAGGTTTAAGAAGTTTAAAAAGAGAAGTACACAACTTATCCCAACAGGTACATTTCAGAGTAACCAAAATCTTTGCTCTATCCGAACTGGATTTGATCCTCATAGAGTGACAATAGGAGTAGGATTGCCCAGCCAACAAGTAATCCCATATTTTGCAGAAGGAATAAAATCCAGGGGTTTTTGCTCTTTGCTCGCATCAATTCTGGAAGCTAAAGGAAAAGGGAAATTAAATGAGATCTGTTTTCAAAAACAACATTATCTTTTCATACCAAACATAGTTATATTGTGCATTGTGAGTGAAAAAGGCTGCCCTGAGAGTTGAGCATTCTTTCCTTCTTCCCTGTTCTCAATGTTATGTCTATTTAGTAGAACTATTTCTTCCCAATGAGTGCACATTCTGTTATCACATTTCTTAGTTGTAGGTTGTCACAAATTTTGCCATGTCTTGTAAAGCTGATGTTAATAACCTTGTGGTACAGGTCTACTATAGATCATAGAATCCCTATGTGTGGAAACAGGCCCTTCAGCCCAACGAGTCCACACCAACCCTCAGAGCATCCCACCCAGACCCATTCCCCTATAAACCTATAACCCACCTAATCTACACATCCCTAAACACTACGGGCAATTTAGCATGGCCAATCAACCTAGCCTGAACATCTTTGGACTGTGGGAGGAAACCGGAGCACCCAGAGGAAACCCACGCAGACACAGGGAGAATGTGCAAACTCCACACAGACAGTTGCCCGAGGGTGGAATTGAACCCAGGTCCCTGGTACTGTGAGGCAGCAGTGCTAACCACTGTGCCACCCCCATAATAGGTGTCATAGTTGTACACTTCACACTGAATACCATTAATTAGTATTCCTCCTAGATTAACAAGTTTGGAGCAGTGTAGCAATAAAACAGAGGAAATGGAACAGAAACACAGGTGATATTTTTGCAGGACACCAGCATGCTATTGCAGTGCAGAACAGTCTTCTCATATCCCCCAATTTATTCAAGAATTTGTTTGAGTAGTTACGTAAATTGTTCTGGTTATGATACCACAGTTGAGATGAGAAAGTCTTACATATCCTTCAGATTTTATAAAACAAAATGACCAGAGCAGTGGACATGATTTACATGGACTTCGGTAAGACGCTTGACAAGGTTCCTCACAATAGACTGGTTAGCAAGGTTATATCACTCAGAATACAAGGAGAACTAGCCACTTGGATATAGAACCGGCTCAAAGGTAGAAGAGAGAGAGAGGGTGGTGGTATAGGGTTGCTTTTCAGACTGGAGGCCTGTGACGAGTGCTGTGCCACAAGGATCCGTGCTGGGTCCATTGCTTTTCATCATTTATATAAATGATTTGGATGTGAACACAGGAGGTATGGGTAGTCAGTTTGCAGATGACACCAAAATTGGAGCTGTAGTGGACAGCGAAAAAGGTTACTTCAGAGTACAACGAGATCTTGATTAGATGGGCCAAAAGGCTGAGAAGTGGCAGATGGGGTTTAATTTAGATAAATGTTAGGTGCTGCGTTTTGGAAAGGCAAATGAGGGCACAACTTATACATTTAGTGGTAAGGTCCTGGGGAGTGTTGCTGAACAAAGACACCTTGGAGTGCAGGTTCATAATTCCTTGAAAGTGGAGTTGTAGGTAATTAGAATAGTGAAGAAGGCGTTTAGTATGCTTTCCTTTATTGGTCAGTGCATTGAGTATAGGAGATGGGAGGTCATGTTGCGGCTCTACAGGACATTGGTTAGGCCACTTTTGGAAAATCATGTGCAATCTGGTCTCCCTGCTATAGGAACGATATTGTGAAACTTGAAAGGGTTCAGACAAGATTCACAAGGATGTTGCCAGGGTTGGAGGGTTTGAGCTATTGGGAGAGGCTGAATAAGCTGGGGCTGTTTTCCCTGGAGTGCATGGACGAGTTGGACCAAAAGGTCTGTTTCCTTGCTGAACATCTCTATGACTCTAAGACTGTATGACCATCCAGGACAAGAATTACATATACTGAGTGAATGGGCCTGCCGATCATGCCAGAGAGGGATACCTGCCACAGCACCAGAAATATGATGGAATAATTGTAGAATAGTTTCTTAAACATTTTAGTATATTTTACTGAATGCTTCAGTCTGATCTTGGTGCTTATGGCAGCCATTACTCTATTTGCGACTTAGCGGACTGTGACCTCCCAGGACATCTTAACCCTCCCAGGAGTATCAAATATTAATTCAAAGAGAAACAACAAGGCACATTATCTGACCATACCTGGCCATTGCCATTTACATGTGGCTTATCAGCTGGAGTGTGAAAATGAAATTGGAGATTAATAAGGCAGTGTGATTTTTTTAAAAACCACATTTCTACCATGGTTTGAAGGAAAATATCTACATGGATTTAGCATACTCTATGTTTAATTGAAAGCATCACCTCGTGGCATCATCTGGTGTGAGATTAAGATATTCAGGCTATAAGGATAATTTGAAGTGTTTTACAGGATATCAGCTGGATCTGTATTTTAGGTGTACAATCTTAATTAGGCACAAGTATTCAATTTCAAATATGAGCAGCAATAACCATATAAAACATAAGTACATAAAGATATATTTACCATATCTCCAAGGGCAACATATAGGAATAGTCCTGTCGCTACAGTAAATATCCATTGCTGTACTATCTCATTGGTTGCAACAGCCAATGATATGTAGAGTCCAATAAAGGCAGTCAAGGCACTGACAAAGTTCATAATAACAGCTTTCTTTATAGAAAGGCCACTGTGCAACAAAACTGCAAAATCACCTAAAGCACAAAAAAAGACAAACTCATTATTGTTGTCAAGAAATTCTAATTAAGTACATCTTGGGGTTCCCAGACATTCAAACTAATCAGATCTTAACATTTTCTGCAGAATGATACATAGTTAGTTTTGTGCACAGACTACTGTGCAGTAGTGAATGATGTGATGTCTGGATACTTAAGTATGCATGTACAAAACAATATAGTTCCTAAACAACACAATAGTCAGCAAAACCATGATGTTAGAAGACTTTTGTGCCTTTCATTGAATACACTTTCATTGAATTTTAATGCTATATTTTCACTTGGAATGGGTTAACCATTCCATTTTTGGTACAAATCACCCAGTGGTTCACTTCCAGGAAAGAAGGTAGAGGAGAAGAAACTACAAACAGGAAGGTCTCTGACAAGGTCGGATGCAAGAGAGATTAAGTAGCCAAAGGGGCAGTAGTTCAAGGAAAAATGCCAGACAAAAGTAGAGGTAACAGATATTAAAGATGTTAGAGGTGTAAAAGGAACTGTAGTACATTCATTTCTTGAGCAATTAGATAAAATGTTCTAGTTGTGATGCCATGATTTACCCTGTCAAAATTGCGCATAATTTTGAACACCTCAATAAGGTCACCTCTTAATTTTATCTCCTCCAAGGAGAATAAGCCAAATCTCTCTAAATTCTCCTTATATCTAAAATCCCTCATTCCTGATATAATTGTTGTAAATCTCCCTTGAACATCCTTCCTTAAACAAGGTGCCCAGAATTGAACACAATACTCTGAATGTGGTCTGACCAATGATTTGTAGAGGTGTAACATCACTTCCTTGCTTTTATAGTCTATGGCTCTATTTATAAACCCAAGGATCCTAAAAGCCTTCTCAACAACTGTTTCAAATTGCCTGGCCACCTTCAGAGAATTATGCACTTGAACCCTGAGGTCCCTCTGCTCCTGTGTTTCCCTTAAAGTTGAACTGTTGACCCTGTATCGTCTCTCCATGTTTCTTCTACCAAAATGCATTACCTCACATTTCTTCTTGTTGAGATCCATCTGCCAGCTGCCTGGCCATATGGCCAACTTATCAATGTCTTTCTTAAATCGCTCAGCATCATCCTCACAATTCACTATTCTCCCTAGCTTAGTATCTGCAAATTTAGAGGTTTTGTCCTCAATACCCATTTCCAAATTTTTTATATACATTACTTTAACTAAATTAAATCAAGTACCAGAATTATGTACAGTAAGCAAGTGAGCCTGTCATGCTGGAAATAAACTGGTGCAATATCAGAAATATGAAGGAATAGCCTTAAAATAGTATCTCAAACATTATAGTACTGATTTACCTTCAATATAAACACCAGAGATTATGATCTGATCTACATCCTTGCTTGCAAAACTGTTACATCTGAGAATTCCCAGTTCCGACAATGGGAGACCAGCTTAAAAAATTTATTTTTCTCTCCTCAGATACTTCCAGATCTGCTGAGCATTTCTAGAATTTTCAGTTCTCATACTTAGAGAAGTCTTCTGTTCTTTTCCAAATAAGTTCTTTTACAACTGCCTGAAAGATTAGACAGGACCTCTGTTTCATGTCTTAACCAAAAGACAGTATTGCATTTAGGTTGTAGCCTAGGTGTTTTATATAAGTCTTGGAAATTCAGCTATGAACTCATAAACTTCTCAATCAGATGTAAGAGTTTTACCGCTGAGCCACACCTGATACCACTGATGTAGAACAGTACTTTTTCAGAATGTCAGGGGAAAAGCTTCTGAATTTAAAAGGATAATTCCAGGGAATAACAACAGTGTAGCGTACAAAGAACAGAACAATGGACAAAGAATGCAATACTAGAACAGGCCCTTTAGCCCACCAAGACTGCGCCAACACATGAAGCCTTTATAAACTAAAAACCTTTTGCATCTATGTTATCCATATCCCTCTACTCCCTGCCTATTCATATTTCGGTCAAGATGTCTCTTAAACATTGCTATTGTATCCACCTCCACCCAATTCTCTGGCAGCACATTCCAAGCACTTACTACCCTCTGTGTAAAAAAACCTGCCTCTCACACCTTCTTTAAACTTATCCCCTTTTACTTTAAACCACTGTCCCTTAGTAATAGACATCTCTACCCTGGGAAAAAAGACTCTGACTATCCATTCCAGCAATACCTCTCATAACTTTGTAAACTTTTATCAGGTAAGGCAAACAATTTTAAATCTTTGGGGATGGATGGCAGGTTGTGTATAGAACACACTTTGATGATTATTGGAACATTATTGCTTTGCATTGTTCATGTGCTTTTGACATAGTATTGCTAGCAGCGATGAAGTATTTTTTGTTCATTCATGTAATGTGGACTGGGTCAGTATTTATTGACGATTCCTGTTGCTTTTGAGAAGGTGGTTGTGAGCGCCTTCTTGAACCACTACCGTCCATTTGATGTAGATAGACCTAAAAAAACTATTGGGAAAGGAGTTCCATGACTTTGACCCATAACAGTGAGGGGACATCAATATGTTTCCAAGTCAAAATGGCAAGTGGCTTGGAGGAAGCTTGTTGATGGTGAGATAACAAGGTGTAGAGCTGGATGAACACAGCAGGCCAGGCAGCATCAGAGGAGCAGGAAAGCTGACGTTTCGGGTCTGGAACCTTCTTCAGAAATGGGGGAGGGGAAGGGGACTCTGAAATAAATAGAGAGAGGGGGAGGCGATGATGGAAGGTGGATAGAGGAGCAGATAGGTGGAGAGAAGACGGACAGGTCAAGGAGGTGAGGATGAAGCCAGTAAAGGTGAGTGTAGGTAGGGAGTTGGGATGGGGGTTGGTCAGTAGGGAGGGAGGGGTGGGTAGGTGGGAGGGAAGACGCACAGGTCAAGGAGGCGGGGATGAGGCTTGTAGGTGGGAAGTGGGGGTGGGTGTTGGTCAGTGAGGTGGAAGGAGCAGATAGTTGGGAGAAAAGATGGACAGATCAAGGAGGCGGGGACAAGATAGGCTGGTCTTGGGATGAGGTCGGGTGTGGATAGATTTTGAAGTTTGTGAAGTCCACATTGAGACCATTGGGCTGCAGGGTTCCCAAGTGGAATATGAAGTGCTGTTTCTCCAGGCTTTGAGTGACATCGTTGTGGCACTGGAGGAGGCCTAGGATGGATATGTCGTCCAAGGAGTGGGAGGGGGAGTTGAAGTGGTTTGCGACTGGGAGGTGTAGTCATGCTCCACACTTCCCAGTAGCCCCACCACCCCTGGCACTTTTCCCTGCAACGGCAGGAAGTCCTACACCTGGCCCTAAACCTCACCCCCAATCCCAGGCCCGGTTCGTGACAAACGACTACACCTCCCAGTCGCGAACCACTTCACCTCCCCCTCCCACTCCTTGGACGACATGTCCATCCTGGGCCTCCTCTAGTGCCACAGCGATGCCACCTGAAGGCTGAGGAACAGCACCTCATATTCCTCTTGGGAACTCTGCAGCCCAATGGTCTCAATGTAGACTTCACATGCTTCAAAATCTCCCCTCCCCTGACCTCATCCCAAAACCAGCCCATCTCGTCCCCGCCTCCTTGACCTGTCCATCTTTTCTCCCACCTATTCACTCCTCCCACCTCACTGACCAACCCCCACCCCCACCTCCTTTCTACTAGCCTCATCTCCACCTCCTTGACCTGTCCATCTTCCCTCCCACCTACCCACCCCTCCCTCCCACTGACCAACCCCCATCCCAACTCCCTACCTACACTCACCTTTACTGGCTCCATCCCCGCCTCCTTGACCTGTCCGTCTTCTCTCCACCTATCTGCTCCTCTATCCACCTTCCATCATCTCCGTCCCCTCTCTCTATTTATTTCAGAGTCCCCTTCCCCTCCCCCATTTCTGAAGAAGGTTCCAGACCCGAAACGTCAGCTTTCCTGCTCCTCTGATGCTGCCTGGCCTGCTGTGTTCATCCAGCTCTACACCTTGTTATCTCAGACTCCAGCATCGGCAGTTCCTATTATCTCTTGTTGATAGTGAGGTCCTCCTTTAACTGCTGCCCTTGTCCTCTTAGGTGGTAATGGTTGTGGGTTTGGAAAGTGCTGTCTAAGGAGCCTTAGTGAATTATACAGTGTGTCTTGTGGATGATACACACTGTGGCAACTGAGTGTTGACAGTGGAAGGGTTAAATCTTTGTGAATAGAATATCCTTTATTGCCATTTGTACTACAATACAGAAGTATAGGAGTACAGTAAAAAGTATTTGCAATGGCTGCCTTTTACTAGCGCCATCTTAGGTAAAAGTACCTAAGTACAAATCTTACAGAGTAAAAAAAGTAGTGGTCTTACACAAAATGGATTAAAGGAAGGCAAATGTGGTGCCAATCAAACAGGATTCTTTGTCCTGAATGATATCAAGCTTGTTGAACATTGTTGGAGATGCACTCATTCAAGCAAGTGTGGAGTATTCCATCAGACTCCCGACTTGTGCTTTATAGATGATGAACAACCTTTGAGGAGTAAGGAGGTGTACTCACTTCAGGATTCCCAGCCTCCGACCTGCTGTTTTAGCCAGAGTATTTGCATGGCATGTCCAGTTCAGTTTCTGGTCAATGCTAATCGCCAGGATGTTTATAGGTATGAAGTAAAGGCATGTTTTGAAAGACATTTGATTTGAAAAACAGAAGATTCACGTTATGTCACTGTCTATTATTGGCCAGTTTAAAGAGACCTGAGAATATCTAGAGATTTCGCAGGAGGTTCAAGAATTGAAATGGGGGAAATTACTTTTAAAGAGTTTATGGAGTTTGAATCAGGACAATTGAATAAGTCTGAACAGCATTATCTTGACACTAATGCCACATCCAAAATGTACTACTGTTATCCCTGAGGTTCCTTTGGAACTCTCTTCCTGAAAAGGTAGTGCAGGCAGATTTTTTGAATATTTTAAAGTTAAAGATAATTCAATTCTTGATAAGCAGGGAGAACAGATCGGAATGTGGATTTGAGGTTATAATCACACCAGTTATGATATTATTAAATGGTGGAGCAGGCTCAACGGGCTGAATTGCACATATGAATGTTCACGTATGTGGTAAAAGGTTGATCCCTTATGAAAAATGCTGCTGTGCTTTATATTTCTCTGTTTACTTCAGTGTTATAATAAAATGTCTACTTGTAGTGAAATACTCAGCACTACTTATTCACATATTTATTTCCGTTTAATATTTAAGCATATGACTTAAAACATGGGGACCTCAACATAAAACCATGATCAGCAAAATAGCTTTCTTTCATCGAACTATCTTGAAATAAAGGAAAGTCTTATAATAATGGAGTGTTTAAAAAATACCCATTTCGTGTGGAAGTTCATGGCATAAGATTGCAAGTGTTGTGGCAAGTCCTGTCTTCCAGGAGACAGAGAAAGCTGCTCCTAGAGCCAGTCCATCTGCAAAGTTATGGATACCATCGCCAATCACTATCATATATGGAAGCACCCTCAAGCCTGTAGAGAAAGAAAAGTCAACATGTTGTGAATACACTCAAACAATCTGTTATGGTATATTGAGTAACATATTTACTCTAGGTAATTCTTATTTCCATTAGAAACAGTATTTTACCAACAAGGTAATTGTAGCTGGAAGTCCAATAGTCCAATTATCAGGGGGATATTGTAACAAAGTGCAAGTAGGTAAAACTTTATTCAGTATCATTTTTTTTCACAGATTGGTACATTGGTAGATCTGGTAAATAATGTAAGGCACATCGTGAATAGTGTCACATAGCTCATCACAAGTGAACAAACACTAACAAAGCACAGGGAATGGACACATTGTGCCAACCAACCTGTTTCTGTGTTGTAAATTCTGTGTAATTCTATGTGGACCAACAGAAATTTAAAAAAAAATAACTGCAACATTTCAAGTTAGTGATGCATGGAAATGAATAAAACAAAAGCCCTGAATTTTGTTCCTCCATCTCACTTAACTTTATGTGAATTCTAGCACATGTCTGACGAAGTCAGGCGGTAAGGTCGAGGTCATTTAAATTCAAAATCTTGTCGATCTGACAAAATTGAGATCATTCCATTGTTTAGGACTTTTAACCAAACTAACCTTTAGAGGGATGGTGACCAGAATCACTTTCCAAGGACGCTTCAGAAGCTGTCTAAACATGGGAACAGAAATGAGCGATTAATGTCTAATTGCAATCAGGGAAGAGGAAAAATTGCAAAATGAGAAGGGAACATTCAAAGTATAGAAAGGAGGTACAATAGATTTAGAAAAAAAGAGATATGAAAGAATTTTACCTGTCTCTGCTTCTCTGCCCAGAATACAATTAATCCTGCTAGGTGGGGTTACAATGCACGGCATGAGTTCAGAAGCTAGTACAAAAAGTAAAGATAAAAACAGAAATTGCTCAAGAAACTGAGCAGGTCAGGCAGCATCTGTGGAGAGAAAACAGAGTTAATGTTTTGAGTCCAGTGACCCCTGCTTCAGAATTGCTCTGAAGTTCAGCAGTTCTGAAGGGTCACTGGACTTGAAACGTTCTCTCTGTTTTCTCTCCAGAGATGCTGCCAAACCTGCCGAGTTTCTCCAGCAATTTCTGTTCTTTGTTTCAGATTTCTAGTGTCTGCAGTTCTCTTATTTATACAAAGGTAAAGATTCCTACCAGGGATGCTGCTGCCACATTAATAGCAGCAGAGACCAAGTCCTTCAGCACTTGTTGAGAAGAAATGTTTTCAGAAGGTGTTCAATAATGTTCATAAGAGATTAGCATGTAAAATTAAAGCACGTAGGATTAAAATAGTGTACTGATATTGATAGAGAACTGGCTGGCAGTCAGGAAACAAAGAGTAGGAATAAATAGGTCATTTTCTCAGTGGTAACCAGTGGCCAATGAGGTAACGGAGGGATCAGTGCTTTGTCCCCGGCTGTTTATAATATATACTAATAATTTAGGTGAGGGCATTAAGTAATGTCTCCACGTTGGCACACAACACAAAGCTAGATTGGAGGATGCACTGTGAGGAGGATGCAGAGATGCTTCAGTATGATTTGGACAAGTTGAGTCAGTGGGCAAATACATGGCAGATGAACTATAATGTGGAGCTGTGATAAGATTTGAGTGTCCTTGGACACCAGTTGCTGAAAGTAAGCACGGGGGTGCATCGAGATAATGAAGGGAGAAGGTATGTTGACCTTCAAAGCGAGAGGATTTGAGTACAGGAGCAGGGATGTCTTGCTGCTATTGGATGAGGCCACACTTCGAATGTTGTGTGCAATTTTGTCTCCTTATCTGAGGGAGGGTGTTCTGGATATGGAGGGAGTATAACAAATGTTTACTAGACTAATTCTTGGAATGCCAGGACTGATGTACAGAGAAAGACCAGATCGGTAAGGACTATATTCACTGGGGTTTTAAACAATAAGGGGTGATCTCATAAAAAACCTATAAAATTCTAACAGGATTAGACAGGGTAAATGCAGGAAGAATGTTCTTGATGACCGAGGAGCCCAGAACCAGAGGTCACAGTCTAAGGATATGGGGTAGCCCAGTTAGGACTGAGTTGAGAAATTTCTTCACCCAGGAAGTGATGGGCCTGTGGCATTCTGTGTAATAGGAAGCAAATGAGGCAAGAACATTGAATGTTTTCAAGAAGAAGTTATATATAGTTCTTAGGGCTAAAAGGACCAAAGGGTATGGAGCAAAGGCAAGAAACGTTATTGGGTAGAACAATAAGCTGTGATCATATTGAATGGTGGTGCAGGCTTGAATGGCTGAACAGCCAACTCATGTTCCTGTTTTCTATGTTTCTATTAAGAAAGAAGGACTTGAAATGTCTTCTTCCATTGGGTGAACTGAAACCCTACTACCTTCTAAATTGCAGCCTGGACAACCAGTAACTGGACTGGAAAGAAGAAAAGTTCATGTAGGTCCTGCTATGATCCAAATCCCCTTCTCCCTGCATTGCCCACTATCACCCTCATTTGCATGCAGTCAGCAGGAGAATAGCAGCCAAAAGCAGTCCTGAAAGGGCTGAGAGAGAGAGAGAGTCCTCTCCATCCAAATTTTGCAGCATTCTTGCTGTGATGTATGGATAAAGGTTTACAATGCAGAGAAAAGTCACATGGCCATTCATTGTCTATTGAAAAATAAACCATCCAACCCAATTCTACTTTCTAGCATTTAGTCCATACCCCTGCAAGTTACAGTACTTGATGTACATTTTGAGGCAGCTTTTAAATGAGTTGAGGGTTTCTGCCTCTTCTATCCTTTTAGGCAGTGAGTTCCAGACTCCTACCACCCTCTGGGTGAAAAATCCTTTCCTTATCTTCCCTCTAATCCTTTCACCAGTTTAAATCTATCCCCCCTCATCAGTGCCCACTCTGCTAAGGGAATAGGCCCTTCCAACCATTCTATCCAGGTTCCTTACAATTTTGTACACTCAATCAAATCTCCCTTCAGCCTCTCTGTTCCAAAGGGAACAACCCCAGACCATCCAAACTTGCCTGATAACTGCATTTTTCCCCTCCTGGCAACATCCTCATAAATTTCCTTTCTACCCTCTCTAGTGCAATTAGATCCTTTCTGTAACAAGGTGACCTGAACCACACACAGTGCTCAAGTTGTGGACTTGAGTCCACAAGTCTCAAGTCCACAAAGGGATAAAGATTGGTTAATGGAGTGGGCAAAAATTTGGCCGAAGAAATTCAAATGTAATGAAACTAATGTGGGAAATGTGAAGTAATCACTTTGGTAGGAAGAATAGAAAAGCAAAGTATTACTTAAAGGAAGAGAGATTGCAGAATGCTGCAGTACAAAGAACAAAGAAAATTACAGTACAGGAACAGGACCTTTGGCCATCCAAGCCTGCTCTGACATGCTGCCCGTCACAACTAAAACCCCCTACACTTCCGGGGACCATATCCCTCTATTCCCATCCTATTCATGTATTTGTCAAGACACCCTTTAAATGTCACTATAGTATCTGGCTTCCACTACCTCCCCCAGCAGCGAGTTCCAGGCACCCAACACTGTGTAAAAAACTTACCTTGTACATCACCTTTAAACCTTGGCCCTTGCACCTTAAACCCAGGGCCCCTGGTAACTAACTCTTCCACCCTGGGAAAAAGCTTCTGACTGTCCAGTCTGTCCATGCCCTTCATAGTCTTGTAGACCTGTATCAGGTCGCCCCTCAACCTCCGTTGTTCCAGTGAGAACAACTCAAGTTTCTCCATCCTCTCCTCATAGCTAATGTTCTCCATATCAGGTAACATCCTGGTAAATCTTTTCTGTACCTTCTCCAAAGCCACCACATCCTTCTGGCAGTGTGGCGCCAGAATTGAACACAATATTCCAAATGCGGCCTAACTAAGGTTCAATAAAGCTGCAACATTACCTGCCAATTTTTAAACTCAATGCCCCGGCTGATGAAGGCAAGCATGCCATATGCCTTGTTGACTACCTTCTCCACCTGCGTTGCCACTTTCAGTGACCTGTGTACCTGTACACCCAGATCTCTCTGCCTATCAGTACTCTTAGGGGTTCTGCCATTTACTGTATATTTTCCATCTGGATTAGACCTTCCAAAATGCAAAAGTACTTAGGTGCCCTGATACATGACGTCTAAAGGGTTAACAATCAGAATTCAATAAAAATCTAGAGTTAAGAGTCAAATAATGACCACAAATAAATTGTCAATTGTCAAATAATCCATCTGGTCCCTTCAGGTATTTGCATCAGTTCTATGACCCTTTGATCTTTTGTTTATGAATTCTGTGTCCGAACCACCTGTCTCACTAATATCTGAAGAAGGAATGAGACTCCGAAAGCTTGTGTTTTTAAATAAACCTTTTGGACTATAACCTGGTGTCGTGTGATTTTTGACCTTGTGCCTTGTAGACAGTGGACAGGCTTTGGGAGTCAGGAGGTGAATTACTCTTTGGCTTCTGACCTACTCTTGTAGTCACTGTATTTTTATGGTTAGTTCAGTTGAGATTCTGGTCAGTGGTAATCCCCAAGCAGGGTATTCAGCAGTAATGCCAAAGTGTGGTGGTTAGATTGTCTCTTATTGTGGATGGTTATTTTCTACTATTTTTATATGCAAATGTTACTTTCCACTTTTCTCCCCAAGCCTAGATATTGTCATGGTCTTGTTGCATTTGAACATAGACTGCTTCAGTATCTGACGAGTCACGAATGGTGTTCAATATTGTGCAATCATCAAATAACATCCTCACTTCTGACCTTAGATAAATGGAAAGTTATTGATGAAACAGCTGAAGATAGTTGAGCCTAGAGCACTTCTCTGAAGAACTGCTGCAGAGCTATCTTGGAGGTGAGACGAATGACCTCTAAAAACAACAAATCACCTTTGTAGAGATAGTAAGAACTGCCAAATGCTGGAGTCAGAGATAACACCGTGTGGAGCTGGAGGAACACAGCAGGCCAGGCAGCATCAGAGGAGTAGGAAAGTTGACGTTTCGAGTCAGGACCCTTCTTCAGAAATGGGAGTGGGGGAATGGAGCTCAGAAATAAATAGAGAGAGGAGGGGTGGGGCTGGGGAAGGTAGGTGGGATGGTGATAGGTGAGTGCAGGTAGGCAGTGGTGGGATTGGTCAGTGAGGTGGGAGAAGTGGATAGATGGGAGAGAAGATGGACAGGTTTCTTTGTATGTGCCAGGTATGACGCAAAACAACGGAGAGTTTTCCTCCAATTCCCACTGACTGCAGTTTTGCTAGGGCCCCTTAATACCACACTCAGTCCAATGCAGCATTGATGTCAAAGGCAATCACCTTCATTTCACCAAGACAACATTTGACTGAGCATGGCATCAAGGAGCCAAAGCAAAACTCGAATCACTGGTATCTGTCTGATCTTGTCTAATTGTAGGCTGAATCAAGGAGGATAATTTATCCCAAGTGAGTTAGGAAGCAAGAGTGCAATGGGAGATGCACAATCACTGGCTAGAATTTCAGAATGCACCCCGTAGTGTGACACTTACCAGTTCCACCTGGGATGTTGTCTTCTTTTCCTTCTGTTTATTCTTTTGCCCTTCTTTAAATGCCTGAAGAGCCAGCACGTGATCACAGTGATGGCCATCTTGTTCATCCTACAACCAGATACAGAACACCATGAAAACCAGAATCTGGAATTCAACTTGTCACAATGATATCGTGCATTGCCTGCCATATTGTTTGAACTCACAGAGCAGAATTTCATAACAACAGATTCTAGGATTAGTTCACAGATCCCTGTTATGGCTGAAAAGAAGACACATACTATCAAAGTTTACAAGATGCAGTCATCAGGACAGGCACAAGAGTGCAAAATATTCAGAAGGAAGCATTTTGTTCTGGATGAGAAAAAAAGTTGCTGATTCGTTGTCATTGACATAAAATCCATAGCTGAGTACAGTCTTTTTGTTTAAATTCAAAAGGCAAGTTGACTTTGTTTGCTTATGGTGTTGCCATGGGGAATCTGGCAATGAACATTGTTCTCCATGCTATTGATTGTTAGGGAAACATGCAATACCTGTAAAAGTTCCTTTTTTTTGTAGCGGCCCAGTTCCTCTGTATACATCTATATAGTTCCTAGTAATTTTAAGATGTGACAATATATGTGCCTTTAAGAGGGATTTGTTCTGTCCTGTTTCTTTTGAAAAGAGGTGTTGTAAAATTGGTACTGAGGTATCTGCTCCATGGAAATCAGAGTAAATAGCTTTGGGATTTTTTTTAAAAGTAGACAAAAGAAGCATGAGTGGGTGGAGTCAGGCTCACACAGTTTTGCTTTCAGTTGTTGAATTTGGGGTTTTGGAGTTGAAGCTGTGAAATACAGCTGTCTCCCTCTGCTGCTGCAAAAGCTTGAGTGCTCCCTCTGCTGCTAGATTCCTCCTGTTGATGTTCCTTCTCCTGGACTGGAGGAGATAGCAAGTGAGGGAAATCTGTTTTGCTGAATTTGCCTTTGCAAAAGTTCTGTTTATGGAATGCTGCTATATTGAAACAGTTGATGAATAATAGTTAAATAATATATTAATTTGTTAAATATTTCAATAGAGTGAAAGTTACACAAATTCTTTCTTTTTGTTTGTATTTTAACTGTGGTGTAAGAATATAGTGTGGCCTAGTAGTTTGGCCAATTGAATCAGTTTTTTTGGACAGCACTTTGCAATTTTTCATCATTCAGTTAGGTTGCTCATTAACAGTACTGAGCAGGATTCAATTATCTCTTCACTATTGTTTTCACTATGTCTGAACTGTACAGAAAAGAAATCTTCACATATCACATAACCCAAGAAACAGGCATCTAGAGACACACCAACCGGGGATGTTGCCTCAGGACTTCTCGTGTGAAGAATGAGTACTTTAAGAAAACAAATTACTCACAGCATGTGGGCATCACTGGCTAAGCCACCATTTGTTGGCCACCCCTAGTTGTCCTTGAGAAGATATTGGTGAGCTGCCTTCTTAGAGCTGGTGCAGCCCATATGTTGTAGGTAGACCTACAAGTTGTCATGGAGGTTGTTCCAGGATTTTGACCCAGTGACACTGAAGGAATGGTGATATATTTTCAAGTTAAGATGGTGAATGGCTTGTAGGTGCTGGTGTCTCTATGTATTTGCTGCCTTGTTCTTCTAGGTGGTAGAACTGAAGAAGGGTCACTAGACTTGAAATGCTAATTCTGCTTTTTCTCCAAAGATACTGCCAGACCTTTTGTGTTTTTCTGGCAATTTTTGTTTTTGTTTCAGATTTCCAGCATCCACAAGGTCTTTGTGCTTTTTTAAGGTTTAGATGCAATGGGCATTAGTGAACGTTAGAGTTGTACAAAGTCCAAATAACTTCTCAGTCACACACACTGATACTGATATTTTATCTCCTCATCATTTGATTTGAGCTTGTTTTTTTTATGTCCAGGTATCTAGGTTACTGGTCGGAGGTCTAATTCACCTCCTATCCCCTTGCCAGTTTCCCCTAATTGACTGGCCAACCTAACCTGGCTTCACTGCCTCAGTACTGCTTTGTCTTCCTTGTTGATGCCTGCTAATGTGAAAATCGCAGACATAACTATAATCCTGGCTCAGGTTCAGGTGGCCTTCCTGTGCACCTTGCTCAGTACTGGCAGTGGTCACTTCTCACGATGGCGCTGCCATTACTTGAGAACTGCCATCCTCTCATTGGCCAGCAGCTGTCTGAGACAGGGCTTCCTGTTGACATGTTACCTCAAGCTGATTAAATATATGTGACATAGCCATTGGGAGTGTGAGCAGGCTTGGGGAGAAAGGAACCATGGTGTTACACCCAGCTCATAGAGATGAGCAAAATGAAAACTTGTAAGAATGTGCACAGATGGAGGCAATTCTCCTCCTTCAGAGATGTATAATATGAATCATGGTGTTCAGATCATAATATCATAGAATCCCTACAGTGCAGATACAGGTCATTCAGCCCATCAAGTCTACATTGACCTTTCAAAGAGCATCCCGCCCATCCCCATAACCTTGCATTTCTAAGGTTTTGGAGTAGATTTGTAGCTCAGGTTGTGGGTGTTGAGGTTGGTTGACTCGCCAAGCTTGTTTGTTGTTCCGCAGACGTTTCGTTACCGTGCTTGGTAACATCCTCAGTGCAGCCTCTGATGAAGCGTCGGTGTGTTTTCCCGCCTGGTTTTAAAACTCTGGGGTCCGTTGCGATGGATTGCCTCACTTCCGGGTTTCTTCCGTAGTGGAATGTATATGGGGTCGAGTTCAATGTGTTTACTAATAGCCTGCTTCGTGGAGTGCCATGCTTCCAGGAATTCTCGTGCTTGTCTCTGCCTAGCCTGTCCCAGGATCTTGGCGTTGTCCCAGTCGAAGTCGTGGTTCTCCTTGTCCATGTGGATTGAGATGAGTGTGTATTGGTCGTGTCTTTTTGTAGCCAGTTGGTGTTCAGAGGCTGCACTGAAGATGTTACCAAGCACAGTAACGAAACGTCTGCGGAACAACAAACCAGCTCGGCGAGCCAACCAACCTCAAAACCCTGCATTTGCCATGGCTAACCCACTTAGCCTGCACATCCCTGGGACACCACAGGGCAATTTAGTATGGCCAGTCCACCTAACCTGCACATCTTTGGACTGTGGGAGGAAACTGGAGTACCCAGAGGAAACCCATGCAGACACGGGGAGAACGTGCAAACTCTGCACCAGATAGTCGCCCAAGGCTGGAATCAAACCTGGGTCTCTGGCACTAGATATATCCTTACATTTTCAATGAATTACTATTGTTGGGGGGTCTGGAGGGAAGTGATGGAAAATTGAATGGGTTTTACATGTGACGTGTGAATAATCACTCCTTAAAGAGATTCTAAAAGCTGTAGTTGGTGACTATGTAAATTATGCAAAAGAGAAAGCCTGTTCAATCATTACGCATATAATCAGTTCTTATATACTTTATCAAAAGAAAAAAATACTCACATCTTCATCTTTTATTAATATATTGAATATCTTCTCCAACAGGAAGAAGGTATAGATGCCTCCAATAACAGCCAGTAGCTTCCAGTTGTGAGAGGCTGGCAAGTGATCATGACTGTCCTGGTGAGTATGTAAGCCAAGAAACTGAAACAAAGATACAAAAGGAATTATTGTTTGGATACTATGTGGAGTTAGATTCTAAAACTTCCATCAAGCATTTTTGTTGAAACTGAGCCACCAACCACGCACCCCCCCTCCCCCCACCACCACCACCTTTCTTTATCTAAGCTTATCAACATATCATTTTACTTACTTTTTCCCCTTATGGGCTTATTTAATTTCCCCTTAACTATTCTAATTTCCCGTGGAGGAGAAAGTTCCTCTGAATTTTCTGTTCGATTTAGAGTGCTGATGATAATATTAAATCCATTAGGAAACAAATATCCTTGATCTTCTGGTTCCTTTATTACATGGCAACATAGAAAATAGAGAGTATGCCATTCAGCCCTTTGAGCCTGGTCTTCCTTTCAATATCGTTATGGCTGATCATCTAATTCAGTACCCTATTGTCACTTTCGCCCCAGAACCTTTGATTCATTTAGCCATTAGAACTATACCCAACTCCTTCTCGAAAACATTTAATGTTTTGGCCTCAACTGCTTTCCGTGGCAGAGAATTCCACAAACTCACCACTGTCTGGGTGAAGAATTAACTCCCCATCTCAGTCCTAAATAGATTACCCAGTATCCTTAGACTTTGACCCCTGATTTTGAACTCTCTGGGAACATCCTTTTGATGTTTACCCTGTCGAAACCTGTTAGAATTTTATAAATGTCTATGAAATTCCCCCGTCATTCTTCTCATCTCCAGTGAATATAGTCCTAAACAATCCAGTCTTTCTTCAAACAACAGTCCTGCCACCCCATTAAATCAGTCTGATAAACCTCCATCACACTCTTTCCATAGCCAGAACATTCTTCCTCAGATAAAGATACCAAACCTTTTCACAGTACTCCAGATATTTTCTCACCACAGCCACATACAATTGCAGTAAGATGTCCCTATTACTGTACTCAAACCCTCTTTCTATGAAGCCCAACATACGATTTACCTTCTTTATCACCAGCTATACCTGCATGCTTAGTTTCATTGACTGGTGTACCAGGACACGCAGGTCTCATTGCACCTGTCTCTTTCCCAATCTATCATTATTAAGATAATAATCTGCTTTCTTGTTTTTGCAACTAAAGTGGATAATTTCACATTTACCCACATTATATTTCATCTGCCATGCATTTGCCACTCACTCAACTTGTCCGACTCACACTGAAGTATCTCTATATCCTCCCCACAGCTCACCAACCCACCTAGCTTTGTGTCATCTGCACATCCAAAGAAATTACATTTAGTTCCCTCATCTAAATCGTTAATATATATTGCGAATAGCTGGGGTCCAGCACTGATAGTATCCCACTGCAGTACCCACTAGTCACTGCCTGCCACTTGGAAAAAGACCCATTCATTTCTATTTTTGATTCCTGTCTGCCAACTAACTCTCTATCCATATCAGTCAATTTTACATGATATTCTCTTATGCCAATTGGATACAAAATTGGCTTGACAGTAGAAGACAGAGGGTGATGGTGGAGGATTGCTGTTTGGACTGGAGGCCTGTGACTAGCGGTGTGCCACAAGGATTGGTGCTGGGAATGCTTTTTGTCATATAAATAATTTGGATGTGAACATAGGAGTTATGGTTTGTAAGTTTACAGACGACACCAAAGCAGGTGGTTTAGTGAACAGTGAAGATGATTATCTCAGAGTACGATGGGACCTTGATCAGATGGGCTAATTTTGAGCCGAGGAGTGGCAGATACAGTTCAATTTAGATAAATGTGAGATGTTGCATTTTGTAAAGGCAAACCAGTGCAGAACCTGTACAGTTAATGGTAGGACTCTACGAAATGCTGCCAAACAAAGAGATTGAGGAGTTCAGGTGCATACTTCCTGAAAATGAAGTCGCAGGTGGATGGGGTGGTGAAGAAGGCTTTTGACATGCTTGCCTTCATTGGTCAGAACATGCATGTTGGAGTTGGGATGTCATATAGTAGCTGTGCAGGACATTGGTGAGGCCACTTTTGGAATACTGCATACAATTCTAGTCACCCTTCTATAGGAAAGATGTTGTTAAACTTGAGAGGGTGCAGAAAAGATTTACAAGGATGTTGCTGGGACTGAGATAACAAGGTGTAGAGCTAGATGAACACAGCAGGCCAAGCAGCATCAGAGGAGCAGGAAAGCTGACGTTTCGGGCCTAGACCCTTCTTCAGAAAATTGTTATCGCTGTTGCTGGGACTAGAGGGTGTGATTTACAGGGAGAGGCTGAATAGACTGTGGCTTATTTACCTGGAGCATTGGAGGCTGAGGGATGACCTCATAGAGGCTTATAAAATCATGAGGGGCATGGATAGTGTGAATAGCCAAGGTCTTTTCCCAGGGGTGGAGGAGTCCAAAACTAGAGAGCATAGGTTTAAGGTGAGAGGGGAAAGGCCAAAAAGGACCTGATGGGTAACTTTTTCATGCAGAGAGTGGTGCATGCACGGAACGAGCTACCAAAGGAAGTGGTGGAGACAGGTACAATTACAACATTTAAAAGGCATCTAGTTGAGTACATGAATAGGAAGAGTATAGAAGGATATGGGCCAAATGCTTGCTATTGGGACGAAATCAGTTTAGGATATTAGGTCAGCATGAACAAGTTGAACCGGCGGGTCTGTCTCCGTGTAGTATAATTCTATGACTGTATGATAACTTTTGATTTCTTTACTGATTAAAAATCTGCCTCTCTCAGCCTTGAGTATACTTAACAACTGTCTCTAAAGCTCTCTGTGGTTAAAAAAATCCACAGATTCACAACCTTGTGAGGGAAAATATTCCTCCTCATCTTTGTTTTAAATGGGTGACCACTTACTCTGAGCTGTCTGGTGCTATACTCTTCCACAAGGGGAAACAACCTTTCTACATCTATCCTGACAAGTCCCCTATGCATCTTGTAGGTTTCAATAAATTTGCATCTCATTCTTCTAACTTCGATAAGTACTAACTTCTCAATGTCTCCTCAATCCCCAGGAACAACCTGGTAAACCTTCTCTGGTGCCTCCAATGCTGGTATATTTTTTCTTAGGTAAGAGGCTGTCTGCTACTGTTTGTAATGCTACATAGAGAGTCTGAATGTTAAATATCAGCGTATAAATGTCATCCAAAATTGTAGCAACTGAAAATTTTACAAAGGAATGCCTAAGATTTTTAATAACTTATATGCAGCAACAATTTACCATTTCTTTCAACTCAATAAGTTACACAATTTAAACTAAAGCATTTTTTGTTTGTGGTGTGGAAATATTATGAAAAAAGTGTGCTTACCGAAGGTATGAGATGTAACACAGCATCACCAGTTAATGAGCCCACAGCCAAACTTATGAAGAATTGTATAACATGCTGATATGCAGTGGTACAAGAGGTAAAAAGCAGAATCACAATCCCCAACACAGCACAAAGACTTACAACTAATGTTGCGATCGATCCATATATATATTCTGGAAAAAAATGGAGGCATTTTAACAATGCAGTAACTGATTTACAAAAATTAAACATTTGGACCTGAATTTTCAGAAAGCCTGAGAGTATTTCTGCCTTGATTAAAACGGAGGTGGAAGCCCAGATCTTGAAGCTCCAACCCAACATGACCTTCACCATTGTACAAGAGTGGGTGGGAACAAATTGAGTGGGCTCTAATTTGCACATCTTACGGTTTATGGAAGTAAATACATATATTGAAATACAGCTGCCTCAGGCTTTTGTGATTTTCATGAGAGGGATGTCTAAAACATGACTTGTGTACTTTACACCTGGTGGGAGGAGACTGATGTCCTTTTATAAATTGTTTTGGGATACCTTTGACGGTGGTCACATCTCCTTTGGAAGAGATCAATTGCTCTTTGGGTCAGTTAAAAGTAGACATGAAGGGGTTTTTAAAAATACACAAACTATTTGGAACGGTCATGATAGCTGTCAAGAGTACTATCACAATATCTGTCAAGAGAACTATCATTCTGTTAATGTACTTTCATTTCCAACTCTTAAGTATTTGAAATAAACTGTCTAGTCTTAAATAGATCAGTGTTTGCCATTTCCACTCTGACATTGGCTAACATAATTTTGACGGTTAGCATTAATAAATGGCTGTTGCATGGCTCATTTCACAACCTTTCATTATCACGATGAGATGCTTAGCAAATAACAATTTGATTAACTGTTCTAAGTGGATATAAACTCTTTGAAGTGGGACAGTGAATTTAAATGTTTGTTTTAGTAAGGTCTCAAAGGAAGTTGTGAAATATAGTTTTATCAATAAGTGTTTTTTTTAGCCTATGAATGAATTAATAGACACTTAAGACCTTTATTTGATCACAGCATGAGTATTGATGTCTGCCCAAGATGTAGATATTTTCTAAACAACCTGCTCAGGGATGTTATTACACACTTCTGGAGCAGGTGGGACTTGAATCCAGGCATTCTTGTTCAGAGGTGCTGCGCCACAGGAGCCATTAACTGTACATGACAGATACTGAGTATGTTGGTATTGTATATGTAACGGCCGACAGTGGTAGATTAGATGCATGGGTTAGCAGGAATTGACTCTCAATTGGCACAGTGCTACGAAGGGTCGTGAGGGGTGTTGAAGTTCATAAGTTGGCATATGAACTTTAAAGGGTAACTGAAGTGGGTAGAGGTTGGCATGGAGGGTATGAAGGGTCATGATAGATGGGTATAATTTGAGAGGGAGGGTATTAGGGGTCTTAGGATGTATAGAAAGGCATGGGTTGACAGGGTGGGGCAGGGAGAGCATCTGAGAGGTGTTATGGACTTGGAAGGCAGTCCTGGTGGGCCTGGCAGTGAGCCCAGAGTGATTCCACATCATTGATGTAGTTTTTAATCATTTTTTAAGTTTCTTCAGCCTACTTGTTAGGTTGTAGGTTCCCTGCCCTCCTTGCAACGGTCACCATTTATTAGTGTGCTATGAGGCTGCTGAGCTGCCAGATCTGTGATTTAGTCAGCCACTCTTGGGAACGGGCAATTGTCCTGAACAAAATGACATCTATATGGCAGCTTATACATGAGTAGCTGTCCATGTAATCAAATGGGTAGTCCCCACTGGTCGGCTGTATGTGTTGCTGGCACACATTTCAGGCTACTGTCATGATTACAACCATCTTTTTCGGAAAAAGTTATGCTATTTGTCTCATCTAAATGATGCACCCCTTCAGTACAGCTCCGGGGTGTCAGCCTAGACTGCCTACCTAGGTCTCTGGAGTGGGACTGCCATGTACTACCTCTGACTCAGAGGTTAGAGAGTTACCACTGAGCTGCAGCTGAAACCAAACAATTCAGACATGCATTAAGTTTTGAATACTGATATTATAAAATGCTGCAAATACCCATGATATTGCTAGAGAATCTTACTTTCTGCAGTGGTCAGCTGAAATTCATTATTATCTGTGACTTGGTGATTTCTGGTGCAGGCTTGACTCAGGAGTTGCTGGATTAATGCAGGACTCAGCTGAACAAAGTCACCACGAGAAATCATGGCATCAATTGGAATGTGATAGATGGTCATTATTTCAATGGAGCTGAAGCATTTCTGCAAACAAAGCACCGGGGAAAAAAAGCCAAAGAGTATAGCAGTTAGTTAATGCTCTAACATGTCAGTCCTCATTTTAAATTGAGTTTACAGGCTTGTTTGCATGAGGCAGTGACCAGCAAGGAGAGAATTTTATTCAGGACGGGTGTGTACCATAAAAATATGGAAGTAGGTCATTTAGCCTCCTGAATAAAAGCAAAATACTGAAGATGCTGAGAATCTGAAACAAGCACAGAGAATGCTGGAGAAGTGCAGCACTTCCAGAGAGAGAAACAGATTTAACATTGCAAGTCCAGAATGACAGTTTCCCTCCACAGATGATGCCAGACCTGCTGTGTTTCTCCAGCATTCTACGCTTGTTTCAGCCCCTTGAGCCTGTTCTGTCATTCAGTTAGATCAGTGATGATCTGTATCATAACTCCATCTGACCAGTTTGTTTCCATAACTCTTAATACGGCTGGTAATAAGTATATAAATCTCAGCTTTAACATTTTCAATTGGCCTCCAGCATCAACATATTTTTGGAGGAGATTTTTTTGGTATCATTCCTGAAAGGCTGAGTTGAATCTTCAGGTTGAATCGTAACAATTTTGGCTACTGTGCATGCCGCATGGCAGCAGAACCAGCTACAACTTGGTTAATATCAGTGGCAATGGGATACTGCCTTTAAGAGGTGACTGATTTATTGTCCATATATGGGCTTCACTTGGTGGTGGGATAGGGATCTGATCACAGGCCTTCCCATCTTTGGCCTACTGCTAGCCAAGGGGGTTCAGGTATGCCACAATCCTATCTAAATAATTGCTCTTCTCATTTCCAAGTACACCACGCTTGAGGGAGAAAGATTCTGCTCATCATCACTCATTTGGGACTGCATTACAGACTGACTTGATTTGTGTGACACGATTTATTGATGCTTAGGAAGTGCTAATTGAACTCATAAGACCATAAGACATAGGAGCAGACATTAGGCCATTCAGCCATTCGAGTTTGCTCTGTCATTCAATCATGGCTGATAAGTTTCTCAACGCTATTCTCCCGTTTTCTCCCCGTAACCCTTGTTCCCCTTGACAATCAATAACCTATCTATCTATGTCTTAAATATACTCAATGACCTGGCCTCCAACCTTCTGTGGCAGTGAATTCCATAGATTCACCACTCTCTGGCTGAAGAAGTTTCTCCTTATCTCCGTTCTAAAAGGTCTTCCCTTTACTCTAAGGCTGTGCCCTCGGGTCCTAGTCTCTCCTACCAATGGAAGCATCTTCCCAACATCCACCCTGAGATAAGGAGAAACTTCTTTAGCCAGAGAGTGGTGAATCTATGGAATTCACTGCCATAGACGGCTGTGGGGGCCAGGTCATTGAGTGTATTTAAGACTGAGCTGGATAGGTTCTTGATTATCAAGGGGATCAAGGGTTACGAGGAGAAAGCGGGAGAATGGGGTTGAGGAACTTATCAGCCATGACTGAATGGCAGAGCAGACTCGATGGGCCAAATGGCCTAATTTCTGTTCCTATGTCTTATGGTCTTATTCTGTAAGTTTCAATTAGATCCCCCCCTCACCCTTCTAAACTCCATCGAGTATAGACCCAGAGTCCTCAAACGTTGTTCATATGTTAAGCTTTTCATTCCTGGGACCATTCTCGTGAATCTCTTCTGAGCCCACTCCAGGGCCAGTACATCCTTTCTGAGATATGGGGCCCAAAAACTGCACACAGTACTCTAAATGTGACCTGACCAGAGCCTTATAGAGCCTCCTGCTTTTATATTCATCCTGCTTTTATATTCAACTCCTGTCAACATAAATGCCAACATTGCATTTGCCTTCCTAACTACTCACTCAACCTACAAGTTTACCTTGAGAGAATCCTGGACTAGAACTCCCAAGTCTCTTTGCACTTCAGACTTCTGAATTTTCTCCCCATTTGGACATTGTCCATGCTTTTATTCTTCTTACCAAAGTGCATGACCTCACACTTTCCCACGTTGTACTCCATCTGCCACTTCTTTGCCCACTCTCCTAACCTGTCCAAATCCTTCTGCAGCTTCCCCATCTCCTCAATACTACCTTTCCCTCTACCTATCTTTGTATCATCTGCAAACTTAACCAGAATGTCCTCAGTTCCTTCATCTAGATCATTAATGTATAAAGTGAAAAGTGGTCCCAACACTGACCCATATGGAACACCACTTGTCACCAGCTACCATCCTGAGAAAGACCCTTTTATCTCCACTCTCTGCCATCTGCCAAACAGCCAATCTTCTATCCATGCTAGAACGTTGCCTCTAACTCATTCTCATGCTGGAAACATGGTAGTATCATCAGTTGTAAAGGAAAAGATGAGTTAATATTTTGGATGCAGAATATTAGGCTACATTGGAAAGGTTAGCCTGATTTTCTATTTTCAGATACTGATCGATTTGACATACAATTTTGTTTAGCGTTTCTGATTTCCAAGGCTTGTGGATTTTTTTTCTCTAGGAGCTTCAGTATATTTACCGCACTGTATATGGCCCCAACACTTTTACATCTGCAGTTAGGTCACAATTTTGCCGGAAACATTTTGTTTCTGAACTGCTAATTAAGTCCAAAAATCTGTATTACAACATTCTGCTGCCCTCTGGTGGTCATGTGTTCATTCATCTTTCACAGATTGATGACTCAGGCCAAGCCCTTCATATAACGTGATAAGGTTTGATACTATCTACATTGTAAATCATTTTAATGCCCCTTAAATCTAAGGGCATCAAGTTTCTTTTAGTGCCTACAAATAGAATGAAACACAATTCTTTTTTCCTCTTCCAGCATTTTTAGATTAACTCTTAGGAATCTACACTTTATCCTGTTGTCTCATATCAGGATTGGAGGTCTGCTCACTTTAGAACAATCAGAATGCATGCAATCTGATACACTGATGTGTTGCTGGACTGCACTGTGTTCTTACAAAGCCCGGATGCGTGAAACTTTGCCAAAAGCCATCAAAACCTTTGTTGAGGTAAAGCTTGTAAACTGTCTGCAGAAATGTTTAAGTATTGCTGCTAAGCAATAGATTTGGAGGTTGGTAAAGTGGGGGCAGGAGGTGGTGGAAATCATGCACTAGTTGTTGAAATCACTCCCAAGCCTTTCGGTTATTACAAACTATTATACAGGATGTATCAATAAATGATGAGATATGAGCACTGTAGTGATTGTAATGAGGTGTTTTTCATAGAACATGAGTTCCTTGATTGGGACTGTTAATCTGGCCCAGTCAAGGAGACCTGGTTCACAAAGGGTGATTGTCAGGGATATTGACCCTGAATGCCTGACTCTGTGAGAGGCAATGCTATTGTCAAAGACTATGCATTTGTAAATAAAGGATGTTTCCGGCTTCTGAAGAGTTATTTCAGTGGCAGAGTAAAGCATGATCCTGACGAAACTCACTCACAGCAGTCATTTTGAAGTTGGGGGTAACCATTCTCTTACATCATTCATCTCTTTGGGAAACTTGACTCGTTCAACCCAGTCATCAAGGACTTAGCCCAGTATGTGGAAAGAATGTGTATTTTTTTTTCCAAGCAAACAATCTCCCATTGTGGCAACTGAGAAATAACAAGAAATTCTCCTGACAGCCTGTGGAGCTGCAGCTTTTTCTGTCATTAGAAGCCTAACTTTTCCTGAGGCATGAGTTACTGAAACATTTCAAGAATTGATTGACATAGTTAAGGAATATTATGACCCCAAGTCTCCTTTAATTCTAAGTTGCTAAAGCTTTTACTCAGCAATACAAAAACCAGGGGAATCTGTATTGAGGTTTTTGACTAGGTTAAGATGACTGGCAGAAGACTGTTAATTTGGTTTAACCCCAATGAGATGCTTAGAGACCATCTAGTATACAGGATTAATGATGTGACTATGCAAAATGCCTGGTGCTGAAGCTCAACTGGACTTCAAATAGGCACTGCAACTAGCTTTATCATTGGAAAATGCAGCAAGAGGAGCGCGTGAGTTGCAAGGTATCCTGATGGAAGTGGACACCCTCGCCAGTCTGCCTGAGCTTGAGAACACAGCTGCATAGCCTCACTCAAGAAATATCCAGATAAGAGTTACTCTAGGATGGCCCACAGTAAAACTCAAAACAAAGTCCAGTATCAGTCAAACAGTCACAATTTTCTTCAGGATCCTGCCTGGTATGACATTGTAATTGTTGTTGATATGCACATTCAGGACAGCAACAGAGCTCTGTTAGGCCCAAATAGTTTAAAAAAAAATTGGTGGTCATATTTGGAATCAGAAGGTTCCACCAATAACTTAATGGGGAAAATTTCATGATAATTACGGACCACAAACCACTATTTGGTCTGCTTGAAGAGGCTAAGGCAGTGCTGCCCATAGCTTCAGGCCACATTCAGTGATGGGCTCTAATATTAGGTGCTTATAATTACAAATTTGAACACCTTCTGGGTGGGTGAGTAGCAAATGTGGATGAATTGAGCCGCCTCCCATTGGCAGATATACGAACTGTAGTGCCTCCAATGAAGCTTTGGTCAAAACATTGAATTTTCTGGTCACGGTCACAGTCACAGCTAACAATATTAGACTTTGGACACAGAAAGATGCAGTCCTTTCCAAACTGAAAGGATTGGTATTAATGGGGGAAACCAAAAGGCCGTCGTAGCTAGAATTTTTGCCTAGGGTAGAGGACGGCATATTGTATGGGGATCAAGAGTGATTGTTCTGGGCAAAGGTTGCCGTCAGATACTGCCTGGACTCCATCAAGGCATCCAGTAGTCTCAGAGTGAAGGTGCTAGCCAGGCTGGACACAGGTATAGCTGTGTTGGTGGGATAGTACTCAGAATGTCAACAAGGACAAAGATTAGCACCAACAGCTCCCCTTTATCCACGAGAAGGGTTAGATAAACCTTGGACTCGGTTCCATGTCGACTGTGCAGGTCCTTTCATGGGTTCAATGCTTTTACTCATTGTAGATGCCCATTCAACATGGTTGGGTGTGCGTAGAGTCCATTTGTCAAACACTGGAGTGACAATAGAAAGATTACGCAATTAAAAACCAAAAGAACTGCGGATGCTTTAAACCAGGAACAAAAATAAAGTTGCTGGAAAAGCTCAGCAGGTCTGGCAGCATCTGTGGAGGAGAAAACAGAGTTAACGTTTTGGGTCCGGTGACCCTTCCTCAGAACCTCAGAAAGATTACGCACATCTTTTGCGACACATGGAATCTGGAAGTATTAATTACAGATAACGGGCCATTGTTTAGTAGCAGGGACTTTAGTTACTTCTTAAAGTCAAATGGTATACGACATATTTGGACAGTTTCATTCCACCCATCATCTAATGACCTGGCAGAAAGAACAGTCCAAACTGTGAAGGTTGGACTGAAGAAACAGCCTTACAGCCTCACTAGATACTAAGTTGCCACTGTTCTTGATTGCTTATAGGACCACCCCACATGCAGCTAAAGGGATAGCACCGGCAGAGTTGCTAATGGGTAGAAGACTCTGCACCAGGCTAAGTCCGATCTTCCAGGACCTGGGGAAAGGTGGAGCTTGGTGAAACGGCTTCAGGAACTCCAGTGCCGAATCCAAGATTCCACAAAATGAGACAGACAGTTTGATCCAGGGCATAAAGTTTGGTGCAAGAATCATGGAAATGGCCCTGCATTCATAAGAGGCATGATCAACATGAGATCAGAGCCAGTGACAAAGTTTGCATGGGTGTGACAGTCCTGAATAAGCATGTGGAGCATTTGAAAGCTTACAAATCTGCAGACCGTGTAGGAGCAGAACATGTCCTGCACCTCAAAGCCTTCAGAAATACTTCAGGGACCCATTGATTCACTATCTCCATCAAACATTGTCAGATCCTCTGAATCAGAGATGGACATGATAGAAGTAGCCACCTTGACACTTCTGCCTCCCTAACTTCCCATGCTAAGACAGGTCCCAGGGATTTATCTACCTTTATATTTTTTAAGACCTCCAGGACTTCTTCTTCTGTAATTTGGATTGTTTTCAAGGCAACAATTTTTATTTCCCTGAGTTCCCTAGCCTCCATTTCTTTCTCCACAGTAAAAACATTAAACATTTATTTAATATCTCTCCCATTTCCTAAGGCTTAACATAAAGATGACCACTTTATCTTTAAGGGGCTCTACTCTCTCTCGAGTTGCTCTTTTGCTATTAATGTACTTGTAGAATTTCTTTGGGTTTTCCTTAACCTTTAATGCAAAGACTATCTCATATCCCCTCTTTGCCTTCCTCACCTCCCTCTTAAGAATGCTCCTACACTCTTTATACTCTTCAAGAGATTCATTTGAACCCAGTTCTCTATATCTAATTTTTGATTTTTTTAAATTCTTAACTAGAACCTCAATATCTTTATTCATCCTTTGTTCCCTAATCTTACCTTACCTTTCAGTCTAACAGGAACATAACGTGACAATGCTGTGGCTTTAAGAGGTATTTTTTTCCTTTTTTTTGGAAAGGAGAGGTTGTAAGACATAGGTGAGGAGCTGTCGAGTTGGAATGCCAGTAACATAAATAGCTTGTGAGGCCTTGGGTGTTTTTTTTTAAAAAGTTGGAACAGTTGAAGCAGCTTGGATGGGTGTGGCCAGCTCTCACAGACCAGGATTTCTAGTTCTTAGATTTTTAACTTTGAGTTTCAACAGCAGTTGCTATTGGAGTCTCAACAGGGTTGGAAGCTACAGTAAAGGTCTCCTGGCTGCTACCCTCTCTGAGTTTCTACTTGAATTTTAGTTGCTGTCTCTCTGCTGTTGGGTTGCATGTGAGATAATCAGATTTCTGAATTTCCCTTTTTGCCAAGGTGTGTGTTTATGGAATGTTACTATATTGGAACAATTAATTAGTAATAGTTACTGTATCTTTTATTCTGTTAACTTTTCCAACAGAGTTAAGTTATTGTAAGTTCCTCTTTCTTTTGTTGTATTTTAACTATAGTGTTTAAATAGTTTTGCTTAACGTCGGGTAGTTTGACCAGTCACATTGCATCTGGAATATGGCACTTTATATTTGCCCTTAAAATAAGAAAAGTTAGGATCTAGGCTACCTTCTTAAAATATTTTGAGTAAGTCTGGCCTGGTCCATAACAATAATAACTCTGAACTCTCGTTATCACACTTTTGAAAGCTTATCAGACTTTCACATTTATCAAACATCCCTTTACCTGCAAACAGTCTACTCCAATCAACCGTTGAAAGTTCTTGTCTCATACCATTAAAATTTGCCTTACTCCAATTAACTTCTAAGGTCTGGAATCACATGTGGGCCAGATCAGGTAAGAATGGCTGTTACCTTCCCTAAAGGACATTTGTGAACCAGATGGATTTTTCCTGACAATTGACAATGGACTCATGGTCATCATTAGACTCTTTATTTCAGATTTTTGTGTTAGTGAATTCAAACACCACCATCTGGGTCCCTGAAACATTCCTGGGTCTCTGGATTAACAGTCCAATGATAATACCACTAGGCCATCGCCTCTCCAATAAATAGTGTGGAAATACTGAGTGAAGTTTCCTGACCTCAGCCTGGGGCCATGGGCAATTGAAGCACCATTAACTATTGTTCTGGCTTAGATCTTGTACCTCAGCTTAGGTTGGATATTGAAACTGGAATTTTCCTGGCCCACTGTTCCATGCACTTAGTGCATAACTTAAGGGCAACCAATTGAGCCCAATATGTAGCAATGTAGAATCATCCTGCTGAACCTTTAAACAGCTAAGTCTAGGTTTCCTGACAGACCTGTAACAGTGAAGTAAAGAAAATGGCTTAAAGTAGTGGGGAGGCGATGGCCTAGTGGTATTATCACTGGACTGTTAATCCAGATACCCAGTTTACATTCTGGGGACCCAGGTTTGAATCCTGCCATGGCAGACAGTGGAATTTGAATTCAATAAAATATCTGGAATTAAGAATCTAATGATGTCCATGAATCCATTGTCAATTGTCGGAAAAACCCATCTGGTTCACTAATGTCCTTCAAGGAAGGAAACTGCCATCCTTACCTGGTCTGGCCTACATGTGACTCCAGACTCACAGCAATGTGGTTGACTCTGGACTGCCCTCTGGGCAATTAGGGATGGGCAATAACTGCTGCCTGGTCAGTGATGTCCTCATCCTGTTAATGAATAAAGGAAAAAAAAGTGTGGTATTACCGTGTTCCACCTATTGGCAGTCATGTTGGCTTCCTCCTTCTCCAGACCTGTGGTTATCAGCTGTCTGAGTCGGTGTTCATTCTTGTGATTTTCTTCATGGTCCTCATCCCCATGGTCTTGTTCATGACCGTGAGCCATGGAAGCTTCATTTTTATGATTAACCAGACCAATTTCATGCATCACCTCTTCAAGTTCTGTAATGGAAGAAAGAATGACTTGCGTTCATATAGTGTCTTTCATATCACCAAAAGCCTCCAAGCCCAATTTGGTTTTAAACATAATCAGAAGAACATAATGCAGAATTTCCTCTGTCTGACATAACAAGAATGATGGTGAACAAGGAAAAAGTCCAAAAATCGTTTTCTGAACAAAGAAAAACTTTCCCAATCAACTCCTCATATTTTAGATGGTGAGTTCAGAACCTTGACACAGGGTAGTGAAGAGGTTCATTTCTATGCACTTACATTTCATTAATTGTTCAACTCATTCATTACACTTCCAAACTTTCTCCTCTCAACTGAGAAACTTGACAAAACAAAAACTTGACTGGTAAAACAGAACACGTACCTAGCATCATCTACATCAGTGCCCATTACAGATTGTGGAATGCCTGAGCCAGCTATCTAGTTTCTGTTTATATAGAACATAGAACAGTAGAGCTCAATACAGGATCTTCGGCCCACAATGTTGTGCCAACCTATTATCCTATTAAGATCAATCTACCCTGCATACTCTACATTTTACTATCCTCCATGTGTCTATCCAAGAGTTGCTTACAAGTCTCTAAAGTATCTGACTCCACTACCACCACCGGCAGCGCATTCCACACGCCCACCACTCTCTGTGTGAAGAACCTACCTCTGACATCTCCCCTATACCTTCCTCCAATCACCTGAAAATTATGCCCCCACGTAATAGTCATTTCCGCCCTGGGGAAAAGTCTCTGACTATCCACTCTGTCTATGCCTCTCATCATCTTGTAAATTTCTATCAAGTCACCTCTCATCCTTCTTCGCTACAATGAAAAAAGCCCTAGTTCCCTCAACCTTTCCTCATAAGACCTGCTCTCCACTCCAGGCAGCATCCTGGTAAATCTCCTCTGCACCCTCTCTAAAGCTTCCACATCTTTCCTGTAATGAGGTGACCAGAACCAAACACAATATTCCAAGTGTGGTCTAACCAGAGTTTTATAGAGCTGCAGCATAACCTCATGGCTCTTAAACTCAATTCCCCTGCCAATGAAAGCCAACACACCATACGCCTTCTTTACAATCCTATCAACTTGGGTCGCAACTTTGAGGGATCTATGGACATGGACCCCAAGATCCCTCTGTTCCTCCACACTGCCAAGAATCCTGCCATTAACTCTGTATTCTGCATTCAAATTCAACCTTCCAAAATGAATCACTTCACACTTTTCTGGGTTGAATTCCATCTGCCACTTCTTTGCCCAGCTCTGCATCCTGTCAATGTCCCGTTGCAACCTACAACAGCCCTCCACACTGTCCACAACTCCACCAACCTTCGTGTCATCGGCAAACTTACTAACCCACTCTTCCACTTCCTCATCCAAGTCATTTATATGGGACTACTTCTTCTGCACAAGGTACCTTCAGTGGCATGCTCTTCCTGGACCCTTCATCCACACAATGTGGCCTTAGCAAAGCACCAGCCTCACAACATTATCATGGCTGCTCCTGAGTAAACTCAACCATTACCTGAGGGCTTCAAGCATGTACTTTAGAGGTGAGGCACAACTAGGATTTGCACAAGACCAAGACCATAGACACAGGAGCTGAAGTAGGCCATTCAGCCATCAAGTCTGCTGTTCCATTCAATGAGATCAGGGCTGATCTGACAATCCTCAACTCTACGTTTTGCCTTTTCCTCATAACCCTTGATTGCCCGACTCATTAAAAATCTGTCTACCTCAGCCTTGAATATACTTAATGGCCCAACCTCAACACCCCTCCACAATAAAGGATTCCATAGATTCACTGCCATTTTGAGAAGAAATTCCATTTTATCTTTGTCTTAAATGGGTGACCCCTCACTCTGAGATTATGCCCTCTGGTTCTAGCCTCTCCCACAAAGGAAAACAACCTTTTTGCATCTACCTGGTCAAGTCCCCTGAGAATCTTATGTTTCAGTTAAGTTGCCTCTCAATCTTCTATATTCCAAGAAGTACAGGCCCAATCTAGTCAACCTGACCTCGTCTGACAGTCAATCTGTACCTGGAATCAGCCTAGTGAACCTGCTTTGGATAGTCTTCGGTGCCAGTAGGTCTTTCCCTAGATAAGGAGCCCAAAACTATTCACTGTATTCTGGCTGTGGTGTCTTTTCCATTTATATAATATTCAGCTCCTCAATTCTTCCTGTCAAAGTGTATAAACTCACATTTCCCCTCATTATATTCCATCTACCTAGTTTTTCACACTTGTTTAAAGATGTTTATATCCTTCTGCAGAATGTGTGTGCCATCTTTACCACTCGCCTTCCCACCTATTTTTGTGCGATCTGCAAACTTGGCTATAATGCATTCACTTGCATTATCTAAGTCATTCATATATATTGTAAACTATTTAAATGTTGCCATCCTGAAAATGTCCCCCTTGTCCCGACTCTGTCTTTTATCAGTTAGCCAATCTTCTATCCATGTTAATATACTACCACCAACACCATGGGTTTTTTTTAATTAAGTAGCCTGATGTGTGGTACCTCAAACACCTTCTGAAAATCCAAATACATTATATCTATTGCTTCACTTTTGTTGGTCCTGCTTGTCACCTTCTCAAAGATTTCTCGTAAATTTGTCATGATTTCCCCTTCATGAAGCCTTGCTGACTGATTTGTCATATTATGTGTTTCTAAATGCTCCGCTATTTCATCTTATATAATGGTGCAAGAGTAGGCTGTGAGGAGAATGCAGAGAAACCTCAGTGTGATTTGGACAAATTAAATAAGTGGGCAAGTACATGGCTGATGCAGTAAGTTGCGAATAAATGTGAGGTTATCTGCCTTAGCGGCAAAATCAGGAAGGCATATTATTATCTGAAAGGCAATAGATTGGGAAAGGGACAGGTGCACTATGCACCAGTCACTGAAAGTAAGCATATAAGTGCAGCAGGTGATGAACTGGGCAGATGGTATGTTGACCTTCATTGTAAGAGCATTCGAATACAGGAGCTAAGATATCTTGCTGACACTGTACAGGGCATTAGTAAAACCACGCCTGCAGTACTGCGTGCAATTTTAGTCCCTTTATCTGCGGAAGAATATTCCGGGTATTGAGGGAGTGCAACAAAGATTTACCAGTCTGTTTCCTGGGGTGGTGGGATTCATGTGTGAGCAGAGACTGGATCGTTTAGGACTATAATCACCAGAGTTTAGAAAAATGAGGGGAATCTCACAGAAACTTATAAAATTCTAACAAGATCAGACAGGGTAGCTACAGGAAGGATGTTCTTGATAACCGAAGAGTCCAGAACCACAGGTCACAGTCTGAAGGAAGTGGTAGTTTTTTAGGACACAGATGAGGAGAAAATTCTTTACCCAGAGAGGAATGAGCCTGTAGAGTTTTCTGCTACAGGAGATTGTTGATGCAAAAACATTTAAAATGTTCAAGAAAGATATAAATATAGTTTTTGGGACAAAGTGAATCAAAAGATATGGGGAGAAAGCAGGAACAGGGTTCTGAGTTGGATGATCAGCCATGATCATGTTCTATGGCAAAGCAGGCTAGAAGGCTGAAGAGCCTACTCCTGCTCCTATATTCTTCAATTCTAATTGTCTCTAATACTTACCCAAGATTAGGCATTAAACTAACTGGCCTATAGTCATCTGTTTTTTGATTCCTTCCCTTTTTAAGTAAAGGTGCTAGGTTGGCAGTTCTCCACATCTCTGGAACCTTTCCAGAATCAAAGGAATTTTGAAAGATCACTGTCAATGCATCCATTATCTCTGTAGCTACTTCCTTTAATATCCAAGGATGTATTGCATTAGGTCCAAGGGATTTATTGGTCTTTAGCCTCATTAGTTGGCCTGTTTCCACACTGTAGGGATTCTATGATTCTGTAATTTCCCTAGCACTTTTTCTCAAGTGATGTTTATTTATCTCCTATCCTCATATTACCTCCTTGAATATTTAGTAATTTTTAATGCTATTAGTGTCTTATAACGTAAAGATTGAAGCAAAGTATTTGTTTAACTTCTCTGCCATTTCCTGGTTCCTCATTATTTTCCAGCCTCATGTTGACTTTGGCTTCAGTCTTCATTTTCATATTTGTAAAGAAGTTCTTGCTGTCTGTCTTGATATTACTTGAGGTTTAACCCTCAAAGTTTACTTTCTCCATCTTTGTTATTTTTATTGGCCATCATTTGTTGTTTTTTAAACTCTCCCAATTCTCTGCTGACAAATGACAAGAAACAGTTGCTATATATAGGTACCAGGTAGAGACCAATTCCAACAAGAGAGAATCGAACTATTACCCCTTGACATTCAATGGTATCACCGTCACTGAATCCTCCAGTAACAATATCTTGAGAGAAAACAGTTAACATATTGGGTCGAGTGACTCTTCCTCGGAACTGAGGACCTGTTCTGAGAAAGGGTCACTCGACCCAAAACATTAACTCTGATTTCTCTTCACAGTTGCTGCCTGACCTGCTGAGCTTTTCCAGCAATTTCTGTCTTTAACAACCTATTTGGCACCATATCAACATACATACATCCTCACTAACGCATAGTACCAACAGTGTGCATCACCTACAAGATGTACTGCAAAAATTTACCAAGATGGAAATGAGTAGAAAATTGTTCCCAGGGATCGGTGTTGGGACCCTTGCTTTTTCTGATTTATATACACGATTTGGAGATGGGTGTTGAGGGCAAAACCTCTAAATTTACAGATGAATACTAAGCTAGGGAGAATAATGAATTGTGAGGATGATGCTGAGTGACTTCAGAGGGACATTGATAAGTTGGCCAGACACTGGCAAATGAATTTCAATACAGAGAAACGTGAGGGTACTGTATTTCGGCATGAATAGACAAGACAGGCTCAAATGGTACAATTTTGAGGGAAGTACAGGAGCAGAGGAACCTCAGGGTTCATGTGCATAATTCTCTGAAGATGGCCACGCAAGTTCAGACAGTTGTTAAGAAGTCTTATAAGATCCTTGGGTTTATAAATAGAGGCATAGAGTATAAAAGCAAGGAAGTGATGCTACCCCGCTACAAATCATTTGTCAGACCATATTCGGTGTATTGTGTTCAGTTCCGGGCACCTTATTCAAAGAAGGATGTTAAAGATGTGGAGAGATATCAAAGGAGATTTATTATAACGATACCAGGAATGAAGGATTTTAGATACAAGGAAAGATTAGAGAGATTGGGCTTATTCTCTTTGGAGTAAAGAGGATTAAGAGGTGAATTTATGGACGTGTTCAAAATTGTGAACCATTTTGACAGGGTAAAGAAGAATGTTCTGTTCCCACTAGTTGGCATGTCAGTAAGTAGGGGTCAAAATTTCAAGATTGTCAGCAAGACAGCTAGGAATGAGATGAGGAGTAACATTTTTATTCAGAGAGTTGTTAGGATTTGGAATGCACTGCCTGGGAGAGTGGTGGAAGCAGATTCCATAGCAGGTTTCAAAAGAGAGCTGGATATATATTTGCAAGTGATGAAGTTAGAAGGCTACACAAATAGGGCTGGAGAGTGCGATTAGCTGGGTAGCTCTTTCAGGAGCCAATGGGTCGAATAGGACAGAATAATATTTCAGAGTCTGAGAGATCAGGCACAACCTTTATTATCATCCACATCCTCAATGACTGAATTGGGTTCATAGTTTAACTAAAAACCAAAAGAATTGTGGATGCTGGAAATCAGAAACAAGAACAGAAATTGCTGGAAAATCTCAGCAGATCTGGCAGCATCTGTGGAGAGAAATCAGTGTTAACATTTCAGGTCCAGTCACTGACCCCTCTTTAGAACTGGTCCATAGATTGTTTGATTATTGGTCTTCAAAGTTGCTCATCTGACAGGCAGCCTCCGACTTAGTCTAAAGGTTATGTGTACATTAATGGTTTTCTGTTCTGCATTTTTTGACCTGCAGATTATTTTTTGTCTTATCCAAATTAATGTGCAAATGAGGGGTGATCTCATAGAGACTTACAAAATTCTAACAGGACTAGACAGGGTAGATGCAAGGAAGATGTTGCCAATGGTGGGTGTATCCAGGACGACGGGTCACAGTCTGTGGGTTCAGGGTAGACCATTTAAGACAGAGGTGAGGAGACATTTCTTCACCCAAAAAGTGGTGAACCTGTGGAATTCATTGCTATAGGAAATAGTTGATGTCAAAACATGGAATGTATTCAAGATGCGGCTAGATATAGCACTTGGGCGAATGCGATCAAAGATTGTGGGGAGAAAGCAGGATTAGGCTATTGAGTTGCGCAATCAGCCATGATCGTGTGAATGGCAGAGCAGGCTCAAAGGGCCAAATGGCCTCCTCCTGCTCCTATCTTCTATGTTTCTAATTATACTTCTGGCTGAACCAACTTTAAAGAAGCTATGCATAAACTAGCCGCATCATTATTTGGAAAAAAGCAGCAGTGAGACAGTGCACTTACATTGCATGGTACTATAATAATGTTGCACTGAAATATCCAGATGGGTATGGACCTATGACCCACCTATAGTCAAGTGACTCATGACATGTATATTGAGAAAGCTCCTTTCAACCCTTCTTTCATTTGTATCCCTTCAATACTTCAGAGTGTGCAGACTGTAACATCTTGAAATTCTTCATTAATATCTGCCGTTAAACTATGAAAGGCAGCACTTTGTGCAGGTTTTCTTTCCAGGCTGATGCACTGACGAACAGCAGACATGTGAGTTGCCCAATGAACTTGTCTCTCAGCCTTGCCCCCTTGAAAAGCTCATAAATTGAAATAACATTTCTCTACTGAGATGTATGGATTAATTGCTGATTCCATACTCTCACCCATAAGATGGGTATAAGTCTGGAATCATGTGTGGAGGTAAGACCTTTACACATGCCCTGAAATTGTCTTTATGCCCTCTGCATTGAAAAATGTATTCAAGGCATTACGTGTCAAAGTGAAAGTTCAAGGATCCCTGACATATAAGGCTATCTGCAGGTCAAAGATTTGGTTGCTTGTTTGTAAAAGAAAAGCAATGCTTGTTGATTACAATTTCGTAAATCTTAGGATGGATAAAGAGGCTCCTCCTGGTTTTCCACCACCCCTCATCCTCCATCTTACTACTCCTCCTGCACAAAATTCCACACCTGACCATTGGTGACCTCATTCTGCAGAAATCCGTGCTACAAAATGCACATAACACCTAATGGCTTTTAATGCTCCAAACATCTGCCTACAGTTGTACCATGCATTCGCTTCCATATCCTTATTTGCTAATTCCACTGTCACTTCATAATCCAAAACTAAATGGAGCATATTGACCTTACCTGCTCTGGTGATGTTTGCGGATTCATTGTGATACATGTGAAAGATAAAATCAAGAAAGAATTCGGGCCCAGGCAATAAATGTTGGAGTATACAATCCCCTTGAAGTACATGGTAAAGCACAATGGCAGAAAAGTGATTGAGGTTGTCTTCTGACATTCCATTTGGACCAAGGCCAGATTCTTCTAAGATTTGATTTACATCAACGCAAGGCTGTAGTTTAGAAAAAAGTACATTAACAAAATAACCAAGTATCAAACTATACTGGAAATTATTTTGTTCCGATACTAGTTCCAAATGACCAAATTTTGCATTGTTTCATAATCATTTGCTGAGAATGTCAAAAAGGCTTTCTTGGCATTTGGATAGCTCAACAATCAAGTCTAAAATAAGATATAACTCAATGTGTATAATATAATCATTTTCCTCACTGCTTTAGAGTTTTGTAACACATACTCAGCGCTGACCAGTGGATTAGATGACGTGGGATGGGGAGGAAGCGTGTATGGAGTACAAAGGCCAGCACAACCGAAGTAAGCCAAATGATTTGTTTCTGTGTCACACATTCTATTTAACACTGTTACAATATTATGCTTGACATCAATGGCCTGCAGGAACTGAAAAACTTGCTTCGTAGAAATGGTTTTTCTCTTGCTGTAATCTTGCGTCAATTTACATCACATTGATCTCCTGAATTTATCTTTATGCTTTATTGGCTGTTTAAGTAATCAATCATTTAAGATTCTAAGTTGTTTCACAGAAAGTACAGTCATGTTAATGATTTTATATGTGGTATAGTGTTCAAGGTTATGCTGACTTTAACTGATTGGATTATTGAAAAGAGGACAGATACCAAGTACCAAAGTGCCAATCCCTACTTACCTGACCTTTGGCCACTGTCAGATAGTTCTTCTGTATTGCCACCAGTACCTCTTCTACTTGGTGATGGGTGGGGTCAAGGATTTGGCTGATGTTAATTTTCGTCATTAGCCTCTCTGAGAAAGCCAGTGTTGCCTTGTCCCACATTCCAGACTGTATGACCTTGCATTCTTTCTGTGGGTTGCTCAGGAAAAGTAGCAATCCGGGAGTAATTTGGAAAAAGTCAAACAATGTCAGTGATTTGGTTTCACTCCTATTCTTCTTGGCAAGTTCAAAAAAGTCACCTGCTGTGAAACACTATTTAGGAGAAAAGAGATGGAAGAGATTTATGAATAACCAGTAGAAAACTTAAAGTTTCTTATTGAAAAAGATACTGCCATCTACTATGGAGCTTGTGTGTTCACATTTATGTCTACAGCATATATCTGTGTATATATTTATTGTGTTTGTCTGTGTGATATTTGTATGTAAATTTATATATTTGTGCATGTTTACATATGTGAATTTGTGTGTGTGTGTTTTGATCAATTTTATGTATGTGTTCGTACGTGTGCAGATTTACACATATGCTAATCAAGAGGGTAAGAATTCTTCTGTGCATCCTTTTAATGGTCATTAACCCATGTACAGTATTTGTGTGAAAGTCATTGTTAATACAGTAGATAGGATGATTTCAGAAGTGTGCATAAGCCAAAGACTGTATCACCTAGCCACTACTCTTCCTTAGGCCTGAAAGTTTGAGCCCCATCAAAATTGGGAACGGTAACTTTTAGGGTCTGAAAATCATGAGGCCAGCCAACATTGGCCAGTTAGACTCATTTAAAACTTTGTTGAGCAAGGATTAAGGAGATCAGCTGAAATTTTCCCCACACAACCAGGAGAGGGGATAATCAACCTCTAGCAGAAGATACACAACTGACGGGGTGGAATGCCCCTGATATGTCTCCAGGCTGACTTAACCGCCTTCTTGAACTGTTGCAGTCCACGTGATATAGGTACTCACTATTACATTGATGGCCTAGTGGTATTATCATTGGATGATGAATCCAGAGACCCAGGTAATGTTCTGGGACCCAGGTTCAAATCCTGCCAGAGCAAAATGCTGAAATTTGAATTCAATAAAAATCTGGAATTAATGACCATGTTGTAAATTGTCAGGGGGGAGAAAACAAAACCATCTGTTTCACTAATGTCCATTAGGGAAGGAAACTATAGTCCTTACCTGATCTGGCCTACATTTGATTCCAGATCCACAGCAACGTGGTTGACTCTTAACTATCCTCTAGGCAATTAGGATGGGCAATAAATGCTGGCCTATCTAATAATGCACACATACCATGACTGAATTTTTTAAAAAAATTAAATAGATGCATTTACTGGGAGAGTCAGTAAGTAGGTGAGGCAGGAATAATGGGCTATATTGGTTTGGCAAAATGGAATGAGTGCAGGGAGAGGTCACGTTCATCTGAATGCCTGCTTCTGGGCTGTTAAGACTCTACACAATATTCACATACACACACATCATTCTTTGCAACAAATGGAATAGGCTTAAACCTTTATCAATTATTCAACTGCTCAGGGAGCCTGTAGTACCCCAGTGCTGCTCTTGCCATATTGTTACTAGCAGCTGACAAACTCAGTTTTTGGTTTTATTCCCTTAAACAACACTGATAACAAGTCTGATCTTGATTCAGTGAAATTTATTGAGCTTAATGATTATCATACTGGCCTGGACTAATGAGCCAAAGACACACAAGACCATTAAGACATAGGAGCAGAAGTAGGCCATTCAGTCCATCATGTATACTCTGCCGTTCAATAAGATCATAGCTGATCTGCCCAACACAAGATCTGGGCAATTTAAATTCAAATAATTTTTTTAAAATCTAAATAATTAAATTTGAAGAAAGCTAGTCTAAATAATGTTAATTGCAAACTACTGAATTGTTGTGTAAACTCATCTGGTGCAAGAATGTTGTTTGGAGAAAGCCCACAACAGTGCCCTTTGAAGTGAACTATCAACTTGATTGTATTAAGGAAAGCAGTTCACCATCTTTTCAGGGTCAGTTCAGGATAGGCAACAAATACTAGCCTTACCAGTAATGCCTGAATTCCACAACTGAGTAAAAATAAACAGAACAAATAAATCAAATGCACTGGAAATTGCTGGAGTGTGGCATCTCCTGTCATGCACCATTAGGTCAAATATTTTTGTGCCAATCAGCTCAAAAACGTTTTATGTTAAAATTGCAAATTGGTGATGGCATGGTGAAGATCACAAGAAAATGGTGGGACCAACCTCTGAAATTTAGGAAAGTTCAGCAAACCAGGAACAATGGGGAAGAATGAATTAAAGAGAGTCAGATACAGAAAGAGAAATGAAAAGTGAAAGAACTATTGAATCAAGGGAGCCTAAACAAAAAGACTGAAAGAAAAACAAAGAAACAAAATAAGCATTTTAAATATAACAGTTTTGACATTTCTAACAACAGTTAACTATAGCCTGTAATGAGATTGAACAATTTAAATGTTTCCTTCTCCATTATCGCATGGTTAACAATGTAATTTTGCTATCAATTCGCAGACTTTGTCTGGGGTGAGTTTAGTGGTAATTAATTTCCAAATTTAGCAAGTTCTTATAAATAACAGGGAGGTTTATGGCATCATGCCAATTGTACAAAGCAGCTTACAGATTGATGTAAATCACTCAGCAAGTTCTGTAGGATTTCATAATATAACGTGGCTATTAATTGTTTGAATTTTCTGGCCAATTTGCATATAAATAAAAAGGTATGTGCCATCAACTAGCAGTCATTCTTCCAGTAAGACTTGGCTCTGATATCAGCAGGAAATAGCACATTGAAAAATACTTGACATACAATTACACAAACAGGTCAATTTTACTTTATAACTAGTAAGAACATTTCCACGCCAGTCTGTCTCTGGCACAAATACTCTGAACGAATACATGAATAGTAAGGGAACAAAGGGATATGGATCCTATAAGTGAAGACAGTTTTAGTATAGAGGGGCAAAATGTGTCGGTGCGGGCTTGGAGGGCCAATGGGCCCGTTCCTGTGCTGTATTGTTCTTTGTCCTATTCACGGTGTCATTTGCGTAGATACTCAAAATGTACCTTGCCAACAACATAAATGCCATAAATGTAAAACCTTTGCTGCATTCCTTTCACTAAAATTCACACCTCTATCAACATAAAAATTGAAAACTGGTAGAGGCTGAACTAACTCCACAAAGGCCAGTATCCCAATACCAAGACACCCTTTATTTACATGTGCATAGTACTTGACACTGGCCCAGTTTTCTCAGAGCAATATTTTCATAAAATCATAATGGATGTAGATAAGGTGAACGGCCAGCCATTGTGCCTGTGTCAGCTCTCTGAAAGAACAATGCAATTAGTCCAATTCCTCTGTTCTTTCCCCATAGCTCTGTTGTTTTCCACTCACAGAACATAGTTTATTACAGATCACAATTGTTTTTTCTAATTTATTTATTTACTTATTTATTTTGTGGGATGTGGGCGTCGCTGGCTGGCCAGCATTTATTGCCCATCCCTGGTTACCCTTGAGAAGGTGGGGGTGAGCTGCCTTCTTGAACAGCTGAAGTCCACTTACTGTGGGTTGACCCACAATGCCACAATCCCCCCTAGGGTGAGGGATTTCAAGATTAGGGGGCATATTTTTAAGGTGAGAGAAGAAAGATTTAAAAAAGACATGAGAGGTAATTTGTTTTACACAGACAGTTGTTCATATATGGAATGAACTTCCAGACGAAGTGGTGGATGTGGGTACAGTTACAACAATTAAAAGACATTTGGATAAGTACATGAATAAGAAATGTTTGGAGGGATATTGGCCAAATGCAGGCAGATGGGACTGATTTAGTTTGGGATTATAATTGGCATGTACTCATTGGACCAAAAGGTCTTTTTCTGTGCTGTAAGACTCTATGAGTGAACAGAACCTCTGACATTCCTGTTTATATCTGTAAGCTAAGGTTCCCTGATTGGATAAGGTTAACAGCACTAGTCAGGGAAATCATATTCTATGAGGTATACCTGGCTGACCTCGTTACAATCACTACAGAAGGGTTTTTAAGCATAATCAGTGTAAAACATACAAAATGTATGAATTAGCTACAATACAAAATGTATGAATTAGCTGCAGAAATAGGCCAGAAGAAGGAGCCATTGTGCCTGTGTCAGCTCTCTGAAAAGAACTATGCAATTAGTCCGATTCCCCTGTTCTTTCCCCCATCGCTCTGTTGTTTTACACTCCCAGAACATAGTTTATTACAGATCACAATTGTTTTTTCTAATTTATTTATTTATTTTGTGAGATGTGGGCATCGCTGGCTGGCCGGCCAGCATTTATTGCCCGTCCCTAGTTGCCCTTGAGAAGGTGGCAGTGAGCTGCCTTCTTGAACCGCTGCAGTCCACCTGCTGTGAGTTGACCCACAATGCTGTTAGGGAGTGAATTCAAGATTTTGAACCAGCAACAGTGAGGGAATAGCGATATATTTCCAAGTCAGGATAGTGAGTGGCTTGGAGGGGATCTTAAAGGTGGTGGTGTTCCTATATATCTGGGGCCGTTGTCCTCGATGGAAGTGGTTATGCATTTGGAAGGTGCTGTCTAATGATCTTTGGTGAATTTCTGCAGTGCATCTTGTGTTAGAGATTTCAATAATTTTACACTGTAAAGACCATATCTGATTATAGACTGAATTGCGAAAGGTATTATTTAAAAACCCAAAGATTGTTAAAAGGATAACTGCATTTTTTAGAATCAAGTGACCTGACACTCATTGTTGGTGCTATTTACGCTGATGTTCAACCAGAGTGGGGGGTAACTACAAATAAACTGGAGCCAGGGGGTGTGTCTGGGAGATTTGGCTGACAGCAGTTTTAGCTAATTGTTCTGTGAATGATAACCAATTGTTGATGACAAAGGCCTTCTGCCTGCCAACAACCATGTTAGCAAGCTTTGCTATGGTTCAATATGTAAGTCACAATATTAGCATCCCCCTTCTGGGTTTTTCATAAATCAGAAAGGGCAAACAGGACCCAGCAGGACAAATTTCTAGTTAAAGGAACCCCAGCGAAGGTCAGGTTGGTTGGAACAGTGCATTGATTCTTGTGGCTTTAGCAAACACAAAAAATGAAAAGGAGATTGAGTTGCTAGTCCCTTATTTCTTAATTCTTAGACTGTTCTCTAGAGGTTCTGCTGTGGGGTTTGAGAGATTGGAATGAAAAGAGGTTTTCCAATAATGAAAGGAAA